CCCTCCTCTAGTCTGTAGCAGGTCAGTGACCACAACGTGCCCATCTGCACCCATGAAGCAGCGGGAGGGTGCAGGATTCCAGGAGCACCCACAGCTGCAGAGAGGGCCAGGGACTGCACTCCCAGTCCCAGAGGCCCCTGTGATAGCGACACTAGAGAAGAGCCCTGCTCATTTTTCTTCTGCTTCCCTCTCCTCCCTCTGCTTCCCTCTCTCCCTTCCTCCCTCTCCTTCCCCGACTCTCCTCCTCTCCCCTCCTCCCTCTCTCCTTCCCCCTCCCTCTCCTTCCCTGTCTCCCTCTCTCAACCCCCACTTCTCTCTCTTTAATTGAAACTGGGACTCACTATGTAACCAAGGCTAGCTTCAAACTCTGCAACCTCCTGCGTCAACCTCCTGAGTGCTGGAATTACAGGCTTGTGCCACTACACCTGACCTGATCTTTACATTTTTAAGGGAGAAATTAGATATTCTCTTAAATTTCTAACAATCTTATATTTTAATGTTTCTTTTAGTTTTGTTTTTGAAGGAATGGTCTTGCTGTATAGCCTAGACTGGCCTAGAACTCCTGATCCTTTTTCCTCAGCCTTGTGACTTTAATGTTTCTGTTTTAGGAGCAATGAATGATCATTGGAGAGAATGTGAAAATCACACACACACACCACACACACACACACACACACACACACACACACACAGTGTAATGAATACCTAATAGCTCCACCATATAGAGAACACCAATAGGTAGCTCCTTGGTGCATATCCTTGTAGATGGTGCATAGGTGTGTACGTGTGTAATGTAGCTGTGTATGCGTGTGTGCATACATGTGTAGTGTCTGCATTTGCAAGATGTCATTACTACACATGCCACTGTGCCGCCGTCTTTGTTCAGTCATAATAGCTACTTTTATAGTCCGGTAATTTTTCTCTTACCATGTTAAGATTTTCCCAATGACCCAAATGTCCTATGCACCCTGTTTGTCCAGTCAAATGTCCACTCTGGGGACACACATTACATCTGGATACTAAGTCCCTTAAGTGTGTCTTAATCTTCTACATCCCTTTTCGGTGACATAGACATATGCAAGATACCTGGTGGCTTCTGGATTTGTCTGGTAACTCACCACCCAGTTGGTTCTATTCTGTGTTCCCCATAAACTAGGAGTGATGTCTAAAGGCTCAATAAATTCTCCCCACGTGACTGACGCCACTGACCTCGCTGACTGGAGTCGACCATACAATCTGTAATGCACCTTGTGCTGTGCCTGGGATCCCTGTGCACCACTCTGGGGCTGGAGAGCCTCTGCCCTTTCCCTGTCAACTCGTCACCTAATGCTTTTGGCACCAGTGAATAGTCCTTGAGTTTTAGTTATTTATTTATTTATTTTTCTTTTATTATTCATATGTGCATACAAGGCTTGGTTCATTTCTCCCCCCTGCCCCCACCCTAGTCCTTGAGTTTTAAAATGCAAGATTCACTATTATCCAGGTGTGGCAGCGGGAGAGAGATAGGAGGCGATTGCTGTAGTCGAGACAGTTTGTCACAGTTCACTTGAGAAGGGGGCATGTGACACCATGCAGTTGCTCAGTGAAGCACTGCTCCCACTGAGTTGAGGGGGAATGTAACAAGTCTTTGCAGTTTCTGTAGGAAGGAGCAGGCAAGACAGATTACACAGACTAGGATCAGCTAGTTGGAGTAGTTTCAGTGGACTCTGGAGGGTAGCTTTCTTTAGTTGTTTGGTGCCTGGCCCTGAATTGATCAGGGCAGGGCAGGAGTGGTGGTGCAAGGCTGCAATTCCAGCACTGGGAGACTAAGGCAGGAGGATCACGAGTTTAAGGCCAGTCTGGCCTACATGAGAAGACTGTCTCAAAAGCAATAAAAAAGGGGGGGATTGAGGGGCATGGGCTCTGGGTTGCTTGGTTTGCTTGTGAGTGTGGGAGGGGCACTGGGAAGCCCCCTTCTTTACTATCCCTAGGCATTGGCCAGCATCGGAAGGAGCAGTACCCAGTTGTCAATGCCTCAGAAATACAGAAACTGAAAAGGCACGAACAATGCAATCATAGTTTGTCAGGTGACAGTTTTCTTTTTGTTTGTTTTTTCTTTTTTTTCACTGAGCAGGCTAAGGTAGGAAGATCAAAAGTTGGAGGCTGGCCAGGGCTACATAGTGAGACCCTGTTTCAAATTAAAATAATAATAAAGTAAAAAAAATATATAAAGTTTTTCCTTTGGAAATAAAAAGCTTCACCAATTTCAGGTAAAACTAAACAATAAACCTCGCCTACTACACTGTTGCTATCCAATGATTTCATTTCCTCAAAGTGTATTGAAGTTCTGTTCTAAATGCTGGAGACAGGACAAGTACAGTCAAAAGTCTCATTCCTGGCTGGCCGAGTGGCTCAAGTGGTAGAGCGCCTGCCTAACAAGCATGAGGCCCTGAGTTCAAACCCCAGCACCACCAAAAAAATAAAAGTCTCATTCCTGGAACTTACACTGCAGTGTGAGGGGGAAACAGTAAGCAGGATAAATAAATTATATGTTAGATGGTGATATGTGCAATAAGAAAAAAAATAGTTCAGGGAAGGAGAACAGGAGTGTTGAGTGAGCTGAGTTGTTTTGTAATAGGGTACATGATGAATAGGGTGACATTGAAGAAAAGACCCAGGAATACAGGCAAAGGCATTCTATTGTAATAGGGTACATGATGAATAGGGTGACATTGAAGAAAACATCCAGGAATACAGGCAATGAGCTACCTGTGGGCAGAGAAGCAGTAAGTCACAAGGCCCTGGGGCAGAATAAAGAAAGAAAGAGGCCAATGGATTAGAACACCGTGGGTGAGGGGGAGAGGTAGGAAATAAAGCCAGAAGTAAGGGGCCAGCTCATGCAGGACCTGCAGGCATTGTCTGGTCCTGCATGGGAGCCACAGGAATGTTCTGGAAGCCACAGGAACGTGTGGACAGGTGTTAGCACCCCAAGCGTCACAACAGCCCTTCCGCTTACACTTGCTTCACTTCCAAACACCCAGTGAAGTCCAGACACCCGGTGAAGTGTGTTAGGCCACATTCATCCCTGAGTGTTCTTGGGAGCACATATTGCTCCCCGCAAAGTGAGGGAAACACAATATCATGGGCACCCCCCCTCACAAAGCCTAGAGTCAAGCAAAGGAAGAGAGACCCAAGGGAGAGGAAAAGGCAACTGGTCCTACAGGTGGGAAGGCTTCCCTGAGGAGGTGACAGACACCTGGTCAAACTCCAAAGGGCCAAGAAGAGTGTGGAGAGAGGAGAGTTCAAAGGGAAAAGACAGTGAGAGGAGCCAGATGCAGCAGATGGAGACTCCCATGTACACCCAAGAGCAATGGGATGTCCTAGGCAGGGGCAACAGTTCAGGGTTGGGTGAGGACAAGGGCCTGGAAGATAGAATGGATGACATCAGATGGCAGTGTGGACTCACGAGAAGGCTCTGGGGCTGGGAAGATTAGGCAGACATGGCAGGACTTCTGATGTAATCCACAGGACGCAGGATAGAGAAAAGGGATGTCTCCAGCTTGGCTCAGTTGGCACCAGGTTCATCTGAAGGCTGACATTTCTCCTTGACCTTTTTGTTTATGTACCACCTGCTGAGTTAAATGAAACCTGTCAGTTGCACCTGAAAATCCCCTGTCTTGATGATGCCGAGGAGCAGAGGGATAAGCAGTCTATTTCCAGAACCCAAAGAGGTTTAGGATAAAAGTAGCTTTCGGTCCGCTCTTCCTCCCACTGCGCCTTACCAAGGCAAGCTGGAGGACTCACACCTCTGCAGAACACTGTAAGACTGAGCCTCCACTAATGCCTAGAACTGCTGAAACCGCCAGCCCACCATTTCACTAATCCAATGTCCACTTGCTCCTTAAATAGAATTCTAGCTGCTGAGACCCGGGCCTGGGCCTCCTCCCTTGATCCCCTATAAATCCCCCACGGACCAGAGCCCGTGCCCCACAGGGTCATCTGGTCAGGCAGCACCAGCTGGCTTAGAGCACAGGGACTCTCTCCAGACTGCCCTGACCGTCCCTGCTGTTGGTGACAGATTACAGGTATGTGACCATCCAACCCAAGTCTTCTCAGAAACCCAGGGCTAGTGTGCGAGCAGCAAGGATGGGCGCTGTCACGTGGGCAGGTGGTCCCAGGTTTGCCTTCTCTGTGTGGCGTCCACAGGACTTTGCTTGTGAAAGCTCAGCGAGCATTCGTCTCAGACACTATGATGGGCTGTTGGGCTGGGGAGGGGAAGCAGAGGTGGTGAGAAGAGGAAGCACTGCCTCCTGGGAACCTTGGGGTGGAAATGTGGGATTTTCATATATCTTTCACAACTGTATTGGTGACGTGGCTGAGTTGTGGGTTTCCAGAGCATTTTCTATTTACTTTCCATGAGATGGAAGTAGCTATGATGGCACGTTCTTTCATCCCAGCACTGAGGAAGCTGAGGCAGGAGGATTGTAAGTTTGAGGCTATCCTTTTTTGAGACTGTCTCAAAAGAACTTAAAAAAGAGCTCAAAGCACAGTCAAGACAGATCTTTAGATTCTACCTGACTCTGTGTGTGACACCAGTGTTTAACCACAAAAGCAAAAACTTCTCACTGGAATCTGGCTGACCTCCTGGTGAGGTTTACTAAGAACTTCGAAGCTTAAAAGAAAAATAATGCACTTAAAAACAAGCACACTGGAGTGAAATACAAACACAGATGTTGGAGCGGGTGGAGGGAAGAGTCCAGTGGATGCACATCTCCTCGTGAGTAGGTTTTAGCTCCACAATGGTGGTGGTTTTTTGGTTTTTGTTTTTGAGCAACTCCACCAGCCCTTTTCTGTGTTGGGTTTTTTCGAGGTAGGGTTTTGCAGTCCATTTGCCCAGGCTGGCTTTGAACCTCGCTCTTCCTGATCTCTGCTTCCTCAGTAGTTAGGATTACAGGCGCAAGCAACAGACGCCCGGATCCACAATGTTCTTGACTTTGTTTAGAATGATTGTACCTTTTCCCAGCCCTCCAACCCCTGACCTACATCCCGAGGGACGGACAACATGGCCAGTAAGTCCCATGTCATCTTCAAGAAGATCTCCCGGGACAAATCGGTAAGTGGCACAGAAGTGAGCGGGCTTGGTGGAAATTATCGTACAATAGTAATAAGTGGAGCTTTTTCAAGTACCAACACCATCAACATCAAAACCCTGCAGGTCCAAGGAACGCTGTGTCTGGTTTCCATGTCTCTCTGGGATGAATGATGGACGTGACATAAGAAAAGGAGTGAATTGCAGCCCCTCTCTGTCTTCTGCCTCATCCAGACTTTAGTCCTGAGACTCAATCTTCTCCGAATTTCTTGGTCCCCACACTCTCACCCCGACTTCTTTTCCTAGCCAGCCTTGAGCCCATGACTTAGAAATTCAAATACTGTCTTTTCAATGCCTGTGACTCCCTTGTCTCTTTGTTGTCATGTCACCCACCTGGGAAGGCAGACCCAGATGCTGGATGAATGTGACACCCCTTTCTTTGCATCTACCTCCCACAATGCATCAAACCTCAGCTGGAAACATGGCCCAATTTGCTCCTATTCTACCACTCTGTACTGTGGCCTACAGCCAATGTTCTAGAGACTGGCACACTTAGCAGGAATGGTGCCAGCTAGGGCCCATCCGACAGTCCAGATGCGGGCATGAGCTTCCTGATATGAGAGAGCTCGTGGAGAGCTGACGAAGCCTCCCCTTGGTAGCTGGTGTCGCAGATGTTTACCAACACACCTGGCTGATTTGTTGAGGTGGGGTTTCACTCACATTTTGCCTAGGCTGGCCTCGAGCCACAATCCTCCTTATCTCTGCCTCCTGAGAAACTAGGATTATAGGTATGAGTCACTGTGCCCAGTCACTACTTTTCCCACTTAAAGCTTCTTTCTAGTTCAGCACCATCTAGTTCAAGCAATATATGTAAGTTACATTTTCTAGCAGCCCACTGAAAAAGTAAAGAAATGAGGAATTTGTATTAATACCATATTTTATTTAACTCAATATATCCAAAAAAATTATCATTTCAACATGTACGGCTGGAGGAGTGGCTCTAGTGGTAGAGCCATTAGTAAGTGTGCCTGCCTAGTAAGCGTGAGGCCACAAAAAAACCCCAAAACTAACATTTAAACGATATAAAAATTATTGGTGACATATTTTACATCCTTTTCTAAGGCATGTAAATGTGCTTGCGTGTTTTGCGCTTACAGTACACAGCAATTTGGAATGACCGTATGGCCAGTGCCCAGCGAAAGCCTGTGTCTAGTGGTGACCATGTTGGACAATGTGGTTCTAGCTTACTCTATTGGCTGATTTCTGAAACTCATACTGGGCCCAGCAGAAACTCTCCAATCCTTAGGGTGCTGCACAGATTCAGGCTTTGCACACACTCACTTTCGCCCCTGCCTCTCCTGGCTGGGGAGAGTCATCACTTTCAAGTACTCAGATTCTTGGTGGCTGGTGCCCTCCTACCTCCCATTCTCCAAACCCTTTCCCCACCACTGTCTGTCCCGCCCACTTCATCTCAACCTCTACTTGTGCTGGTTTTCTCTGACATTTTGCACTCATATGCAAATAGGCATCCTTTGGACCAAGAAATTTAGTTTTTTCTATATTTGTAGTCACAAGGAAAAAGAAAATTCATTAATGTCTCATTTGGATCATTTCAATGGCACCCTCTGTGTGCCCTAGGCACAGTGTCAGGGATCTGTAGCCGTTTCTCTGTGATTCTCTCTGCTCTGCCTGCTTCTGGAATTTCTTTCTCCCAGGCTGGTGGCAAGATGGCTGCCTCAGCTCCTGGTGTCTCCTCTCACTTGACTGCATCCAGGGGGAGGAGGGTGTGACTTCGTGGGGTCTCTTTTAAAAGCCAGAAAACCTTTCCCAGAAGCCCTCCAGCCAACTTCTGGCTTATCTTCACTGGTTGGAAGTGGGTCACCTGCTCAACCACAGCCAACCACAAGCCAGAAGGAATAGAGGACCAGAACTGGATCAGGTCAATCAAGAATCCTGCCCTGGGCTGACCTGCTCTTCGTAGCACACCTGGAGGATGGTAGGTCCTGAGCGTGATCCATGACTTTTATCCAGGAGGAAGAGGTGCATGGCTGTGGGGTGGCCACCCAGCAGGCCATTACCCTGCTTTTCCACCTGCACCCCTTCTTCCCTTCCATTGCAGAAAGGGTGCCTTGGGTTCCTCTGAGGTTCACCGCATGTAACCCCAGGGTATTATGGTCTACCACCTGCTCAGGAGCCTCAGCCATCAGCCTCTCCCTGCCTAGGCTCTATCTGCAGCCCCTCCTTTTCTGCCAGTCCTTTGCCAGAGTTTGAGAACAAATCCAGCCCCAAGCATCCAAACAGCACCCACCAGCTCCAATCTGCCTCACCTCTTTCCAGTTCTTTTCCTCACTGCCACAGCTTGGGAGAACAGACCATTCCTTTCCCTTCTGTCACTCTTCAGTCCCCCCTCTTCCAAACCACAAAGAGGCTGCCTACCTACCTGGCTTTCCCTTGTCAATCTATCCTCCACTGTGCTGCTAGTGTGATCTAAGTCTCAGTGTTTTCCTTTACAAAGAAGGGCTGGTTCCTATCTTGCAGAGTTGTGAGGATGAAATGAAATTAAGTGAAATGGTGGGGTGCTCTGGTAAGCCCTGGTGGTGTGTCTTTAATTGTGTGCTGCTTAAAATGCTCCGTCTTCCTAGATGATTTGGGCTCAGGTCCTAAAAGACTCTCTCTGGCATCAGCCTGCATCCCCATTCAGTGGCCATTCACTGCAGAGGACACCATCGGCAGTTCCATAAGCATTCTCTCTCCTTTGAGCCTATTTGGGTCAGGGAGCCACCCCTCACTATCACTCTGTCACCTGGCTGTGCTGTCTGTCCTTCAGTCTTCACTCAGGTAGAGCCTTCCCTAAAAGGAAGCACTTCTCTTTCTCTTCCTTCCCCTGCCCTCTCACTACCTCTGCTCTGGCACTTGACTCAAACCGAAGGCTGGCACCCTGGATGGTTTTCATCCTCAGCACCCAACAGTGCTTGGGGGGCTCCGTACAGTGCATGGGAGGAATGAGGGAAGTGTTTGCCTCGTTTGTGGAGCTCAAAGTCTACAGGAGGGACAGGCTCACGCAACAACAGCCAGAACAGTGTGGCACGTGTTGGTGTGGGGACACAGGCCACGTGCTCCTGGTGCACCCAAGGCTGGAATGTATTGGGACAGGGAGGGGGCGTTGTGACTGTTCCCTGGAGCGTGGACAATGGACATGTGGTAGGAGAGCCTTCCCCAGGTGGAAGCAACAGCAGAGGTGCACGCCTATGTCACGTGGCCGGGGCCCAGGGCCCTGTTGGTCACATGCAAGGGGCTGATAATATACCACATGGCGTGAGTGAGTAGCCCCCAGACACAGATCAGCAGAGAGCAAGTGTTGGTTTGGTTCCTGCAAGAACAGAAGAGGTGTTTGCCAGGTAGGAAAAAGCCATGAGAGACACTGAGTGTGCCACACCAGTGCTGACAGCAGCTGGACACTGGTACCTCCCTGGTCCGAAAGGATGGGGCGTCAAGCAGATGCCAGAACCCAGAGGCTAGCAGGGTCACCTGCCAGTAACTGGAATCCTATGCCAGGCAGCCATGTAGGCAACCAGGGAACAAACACCTAACCCTCTCCTCCTCCCTCCTTCTACCTTCTGGCCCACTTTGCCTGGAATCCAGAAGGCCATGGAATTCTCTGTGATTCAGCTGAGTCAGCCCCCCAGGTGGAGCTCAAATCTGAAGGGTGAGGCCAGTATACCCCACAGCTCTCTCCTCTTGGGTCTAGCTCTCACCATGCCCCAGGTGGATTTATGGGTTTCCCATGGAATCTTCTCCTTAAATGGGTCTCTAAGGCAACTGCTGAAGACTTTCAACATCAGCCATGCAAATAGCCTAGAAGGTACAGGTACCCAGTTTAAGACAGGTGATGTGCTGCAGAGGATGGAGGATAGGGTGTGATTTAGTGACAACAAAAGGGATTTGGTGCATTCCTGGAAAGAAAAACGTGCCTGGGGAGGCTGGGGGAAGAAGGGGCAGGTCAGGGGGCATGCTTACATCATGTGCACTTAGCAAGCACGGACTGAATCCCTTTGCACACCGACATTCTGGTAGATACTGTGTCAGCTGAAAGATGCTGTGGTGAGGCGAGACACTCACAGTCCTGTGGTGAGCAGTAGGGAAGCAGCCCCTGCTGTTACACAGATGGGGTAAAGAGACCTTAGCTGCCAGGAGCTTGGAATGGACGGACAAGAGCCGAGCTGAGACCATGACTGTCCCCTCCCACCCAGCTCCATCTCCCCACTTCAGACCATGGGTTCAGGTTCACTTGTGCAGAGAACAGTGGATGGGATTTCAGACTCCTCCTGAACTCCCTAGTCCAGAAATTCTTTGAATAAGAAGAGGAAATCAAGCCAGGCACCAGTGGCTCGCTCCTGTAATCCTGGCTACTCAGGAAGCAGAGATCAGGAAGATCATGGTTCGAAGCCAGCCTGGGCAAATAGTTTCGTGAGACCTTATCTCAAAAAAACCTTCACAAAAATAGAGTTGGTGGAGTGGCTCAAGGTGAAGGCTCTGAGTTCAAGCCCCAGTACCTACAAAAAAAAAGAAGAGGAAAATTTTCAGTCCACAGATAAAAGGCTTACTATGCAAATGGATGGAGGAAGGGAGGCCCATTTACCTAGGCATAACTGTCTATTAAAGCATCAGTTAACTTAGCAAGTTTACCTGATTGATATCAGACCTGGGCTCGATGGAGAAAGGAGAGGAGAATAGGACTAGGAAGAGTTCCTTGTTAGGATATAGGATATTGAGGTCAAAGCACACCATGCCTGAAATCCACCATCTCTACCTACAGCCTGGAGAGAAGGAAGGGATAGAGAAGTTGCTGAGCCAGGTGGACTCCACCTTTCAAAATGGAGGAAAAGGGCTAAAACTGGAGCTGAATAGCAGAGTGCCTGCTCTGCTTGCATGAAGCCCTGGGTTTGATACCTACCGCTGCAAAAAAAGAAAAAGACTAATGTAAAGATTTGATAGTTGTTAATTTTTAAATAAATGCCTTTACCATCCAGTGTTCTTTGGCCATTTGGAATGTATACCTGTTCTTCCTGCAGGTGACCATCTACCTCGGGAAAAGAGACTATATAGACTATATCAACCAAGTACAGCCTGTGGGTAAGTTGAGTTTGGTGTAAAATTTTAATGCTAATTTTCCTTTAAGTCATAAGACAACTGCTGGTTTTATATTTTAATTAATTAATTAATTAATTAATTTTGCAGTACTGGGTTTGTATTCAGGGCCTCCACCTTGAGCCACTCCACCAGCCCTTTTTTGTAATGGGTTTTTTTGAGAGAGGGTCTTGCTACTTACTTTCCCAAGATGGTTTTGAACCTTGATCCTCTTGAATAGCTAGGATTACATGCGTGAGCCACCAGTGCCTGGTTGGTTTTATATTTAAAAAAAACAACCTCACTCATAATATAATTAAAGAAATGCAAATTAAAACATCAGCAAAATACCATTGGCTGACTGGAAATAATTTTACAGACTATGAGGAGATTTAGGACTCATTTCTAGAATATATGAACACTCGGACTTCAACAGTAAATATGAAGGAAAATCCAATGAGAAAATGAATAGAAGACATGAAAAGACATTTCATCAAAAAACTATATTGGAAGCCAGGTACTGGTGGCTCACACCTGTAATCCTAGCTACTCAGGAAGCAGAGATCAGGAGGATCTTGGTTTAAGACAGCCCAGGCAAATAGTTCTCAAGACTTTTATCTCGAAAGTACCCAACATAAAACAGGGCTGGCAGAATGGCTCAAGTGATAAAGTACCTAGCAAGTGTGAAGCCCTGAGTTCAAAACCCCAGTGTCTCACGCACACACACACACACACACACACACACAAAACCTATATTGGGGGACAGGTGTGGTGGGACATGCCTGTAATCCCAACTACTTGGGAGATGGAGGTAGGAGGATCTCAGTTGGAGGCCAGCCCAGGCAACAGCTCAAGACCCTATCTAAAAAGCAAACTAAAAATCAAAATAAGCTGGGTGCCTGTGGCTCATGCCTGTAATCTCAGCTGCTCAGGAGGCAGAGATCAGGAGGGTCATGATTTGAAGCCAGCCCAGGCAAACAGTTTGAGAGATCCTATCTCAAAAAAACCCATCACACACACAAAAAAGGTTTGTGGAGTGGCTCAAGGTGTAGGGCCTGAGTTCATATCCCAGTACCACAAAAAAACAGAAACAAAGAATGAGCTATTAATACTGTCAACAACTTACAGATCTGTAGTAAGGACATTACGCTAACTAGAAAAAGCCAGTCTGAAAAGGCCACATGTTGTATGAGTCCATTTATATAACATGGTGTTTTTTTGTTTGTTTGGGTGGTCCTGGGGCTTGACTTCAGATATTTTTGAGATAGGGCCTCAGGAACTATTTGCCCAGGTCTGGCTTTGAATTAAGATTCTCCTGATTTCTGTCTCCTGAGTAGCTGGGGTTACAGGAGTGAGCCTGTATCTGGCTGTATAACATTCTTACGATGACAAAATTATAGAGATGGTGGCTGCCAGGGCTGAAGATGGTGGGGCTGGGATGGGGAGCTGTTAAGGTGGGCTGGAGGGGAGATTTTTATAGCAATGGGATGGTTCTGGATGGAGAGTGTGACGAGGGTCACACAAATCACTGTGATAAGATGACCTAGGACCAGAGATGCTGTACCTTGCCCACTTCCCCGCCTCAGTACTGTACTGCAATTGTGTAAGATGTGATCACTGGGGGAAACCAGGAACAGAAACTGGGACCTCTCTGTGTTACCTTTGCAACTTCTGGTGACTCCATAATGATTTCAACATAAAAAGTTTAAAAAGAAAAAAATGTAGAAAAACTGGCAATGTTGAGCACTGAGGATGAAGATATGTTGTCAAAAGTCAAATCCAATTATATATTTTTTTAAATCATAAAGAGATACAAAAATTTTTATCTAGCTGGGTGATGGTGGCTCAAGCCAGAGATCAGGATTGGAGTTTGAGGTCAACCCAGGGAAATAGTTCTCAGGACCGTATTTCAAAAATACCCAACACAAAGGCTGGCAGAGTGGCTCAAGTGGTAGAGCACCTGCTTAGCAAGTGTGAGTCCCTGAGTTCAAACCCCAGGACTGCCCCCCCTCAAAAAAAATGAAAAAAACCCCGCTATATATAAGGATGATTATCACAATATTAAGTGTAATGGGAAAAATTCACCCCAAGTACCCTCACGATAGTAGGTTGATTAGATAACTTATGGCATGTCATTCAGTAGGCTAATATGTAGATATGGGCATATGTGTTTCCAGAAGAATAGATATTTGGAGCTGAGCGCCAGTGGCTCCCACCTGTAATCCTAGCTATGTGGGAGGCTGAGATCTGGAGGATCATGGTTCAAGGTCAGCCAGGGCAATACTTTGAGAGACCCCCATTTCCAAAATAAGCAGAGCAAAATGGACTAGAGGTGTGGCTTAAGAGGTAGAGCCCCTACTTTGCAAGTGCAAAGCCCTGAGTTTAAACACCAGTTCCAGCAAAAAAAAAAAGATGTTCACAAAATACAGTTGAACAGGAAAGCTGCTAACTGATCAGCATATATTGGAGGAATTTTTTAAAATAAAAACATTCATATAATTAATTAAATGTGTATGGGGCTGTGGGTGGAACTTAGGGGTACAAGGCCCTGTGTTTGATCCTCAGCACCACTAAAAGAAAAAAAAGTATGTATGTATATATGTATCTGGAAAAAACTGCTTGCACCAGTTCCTTAATAGTAGGTATCTTTGGGTAGTGGGAATTTGGATGACTTTACTTTCTCTTTGTTTAATTCCCCTTTATAATTTTTTTTTTTGGTGGTACTACAGTTTGAACTCAGGGCTTTGCACTTGTGAGGCAGGGGCTCTACCACTTGAGTCACACCTCCAGACCTTATAGTTTTCTTACAATTACCATGGGTTACATATGCAGTTAGAAACCATACTGCCCCTGGGTGTGGAGCAGCCAAGGCAGGAGGATTGCGAGTTCAAGGCCAGCCTGGGCTACACAGAGAGACCCTGTCTCAAAACAACAACAAACAAACAAACAAGCCAACTGCACATAGTTTTGTAATAAGTTGTCTGGGTCCCCTTGTCTCAGCTTCAAGAATCTCTCCTTTTGGTTTAGATGGTGTCGTAGTGGTGGATCCTGAGCTCGTGAAGGGAAAGAAAGGTGAGCAGAGCCCCTGGTCCTGGGGCAGTAAAGGTCTGGTCTCCTGGCTGACTGAGGGAAGGAGGCATTTGATGGGGAGGCAGGGAAACAAAACCCAGCAATGGTTCTGAGCCACACTGTTGCAGTGCCCTTGAGATCTGTGATGTGTGTAGTGAGTCATTCATTACAATGGCAGTTGCATAAACTGACTTAGAGCAGATTCAAGCCATGCTTGTAATAATGTCGCTGACTCAGTTCCAGTCTAAATATGCCTTTTGAGTGGTTGCTATTGGCAACCAGAAAGAATTGTTCTAAATCCTGGATGTGCCCCCTGGATCATGCCAGGTGTGGGCTGCCAGCAGCAACCGGGGCACTACAGGAATGGGGCAGAAAAGTCATCCCCTCTGTCATCCCCACCTTCCTGGGTGCCCTGCTCCTGTCTAATTTGAGCCCTGCCAGCCCCTGCCTGTGGGCACAAAAGAGTGCCTTGCTGTCAGAGAAAGTCACTGCCTGTCTCGGGCACCTTCCTCTCACACTAAACTTGAAGGAGGGGTGGGCAAGTGGTCAGTGGTTCTTCTGAGTCAGCAGCGGGTGAGGGAGAAGTTGCCCTTGGGACTGCTATGAACAAAATCCTTTACCAACAGCTACTGATGACTTGGAGGTGCCACTTCTGGCATGCTTTACATTCTAGGTCTGCACTTCTTGTCTTAAAAAAAATGCATTGTGTACAATTCTTTTGGTCCACTGGGGCACAATTTAAGTCTTAAATCAAATGGAGTTTTCAAAAGTGGTGACTTGAGAATGTGTAATTAGTTTCAGAGCCGTGTGCAAAGAAGGCTGTTAAGTGGAGAGTTCTTGGGTTTGATTTCACTTCCCCACTTGGCCCATGGCTCCGTTTGTCTCTGACACATGCCTCTTTTGCTCCCTGTCTCTTACCTTATCCTTTCCCAGCCCAAGCAAGTTAGCACTGTTTTAGAGCCCCTGAGATCCTTGAGCTGGTGGGTAAAGAAGAGGGAAGGGTGGGACGGAAGAAACAGTGGGGACAGTGGACAGCACCGTGTTCTCTGTCGACAGATTCCTACCATCCTGGCAAAATCATGTGTTTGCCAGGGAGATGCCTCCCAGTCCTCTGACATTCCCCTTTAGGATAATGAACTTGAACCCTGGGAAGGCACTGATACTCCCAAAAGATGTGGATCAATGGGATACTATGATTCTCTTAGATTCCATCCCTTCCAGACACTAAAGAACCCTAGGGCTGACAGTATGCCACGGTCAATCTGCTGCCTCCTCAGCCCAGGGCCAGTGGGGCCAATGGAGGCACATTAGAAGGGCCAAGTTCAACCCACCCATGTCTTCTTCCCAGTGTACGTCTCTCTGACCTGCGCCTTCCGCTATGGCCAGGAGGACATCGATGTGATTGGCCTGACCTTCCGCAGGGACCTGTATTTCTCTCGGGTCCAGGTGTACCCTCCTGTGGGGGCTGCTAGCCCCCCCACGCCACTGCAGGGGAGTCTGCTTAAGAAGCTGGGGGGAAACACATACCCCTTTCTGCTCACGGTGAGAGCTCCTGATCTTGCCTGCTTCCCTGGCTGTCTCCTTCACCCACGGCACCTTACAATGGGAATGGGGCAGAGGAAGGGGACGAGGGAGGACTTGATATCTGTGGGCCTGTAAATTGTACCCTTGAAAGAAATTGTAGATTGCACAGTCTGTGATTGTCTCTTTTTAAGTCATTGAAAATAGCCTCCCTGCCTTTGAAGGCACATTTCAACCTGCCCTTCAGATATTTTCCTTCCTCTGACCGCCTAATTAGATGAGCATGTGTTCTTTCTTCTCTTGTCAGCTATAAAAAGAAACTGGCAGAAGTGCCCCCATGGCTGGTCCCAGGGAGGTCTAGGCAGGAAAGAGTCCCTATGAGACAGAAGATGTTAGCAGAGTAAGATATCATTCCTCCTGTCCCTCCATGTTGGGGATGGAACCCAGGACCTTGACCCAGGCTTCAGACATTGTGTTTACCTTGCTTATTGCATGGGGGATCCTGGGGCTCCATCCCTTCCTCTCTCTTTCTCCCTCTCCTTCCATCTCTCTCTCTCTCTCTCTCTCTCTCTCTCTCTCTCTCTCTCTCTCTCTCTGTTAGTGGTACTGGGATTTGAACTCAGGGCCTTGTGCTAGCTAGATAGGCAGTGTTCTACCACTTGAGCCATGTCACCAATCCCCTTTGCCTCTCTTGAAGCCTGGGTCTCACCCAGTGAAACCCAACCCTGGGACGTCAGACAAAAGCTTGATATGGGGAAACTTCAGCTGTCTTTACTAGCGTGCTCGCTTGTCTTATGAGCATACACTCCTCCAAAGCAATGTGGTTGAGCCTGAAAAAGTAATGACACACTGACCCATGCTACGACATGGACAAAACCTAGAAAACACGATGCTGAGAAGCCAGACACGAAAGGACAAATAGTACTGTGTGAGCCCACTTGTGTGAGGTTAATGAAGCAGTCACATTCATTTAGACAAAAAACAGAAGTCAGGGCATCAGGTGCTGGGGAGGGAGAAGAGGAACAGGATTTGAGGATCAGTGGGGATGGAGCTTCTGTATAGGATGATAAAAACGCTCTGAAGATGGGTGGTTGTGGATCAATGTGAGTGAACTTAACGCCAATGAAGTATACATTTAAAATAGTTAGAATGCTAAGCCTGGTGTTACTCCATTTTGCCACAGTTATTATACAGATTTCTTTTTTGGCAGTAGCAGAGTTTTGAACTCAGGACCTTGTGCATGCTAGACGGGTATTCTAACACTTGAGCCATGCCTCCAGACCCAAAATTTCATGGAAAAAAAAAAAGCTGTTTGGTCCTGGATACTCCCATGCACCTATGCTGAGAGTTTGAAATGACATAACCTTTCAGTGACAGCATCTCAGCATATATTAGAAATCTTTTAAAATGTGATTTTTAGCTGGGTATAGTGGTGTACACTGGTAATCCAAGTACTCGGGAGGCTGAAGCAGAAGGTCTCAAGTTTGAAGCTAATCTGGGCTACATATTGAGATCCTGTCTCCAAAAAACAAAAATTGGGCTAGAGGCATGGCTCAAGCGATAGAGCACCTGCCTACCAAGTGCGAAGCCCTGGATTCAGACCCCAGTGCCGCTAAAAAAAAAAAAAAAAAAAAGCAAAATGTGATTTTGACTGACAATTCAGGTCAATGTAGCGTATAGAATTTATTGGTTAAAACTGTGCCAACATGTGTGAAGAAGGATATTTATTGCAGTGTTGTTTATCATAGCAAAAAAAAAAAAAAGACCACGAAAGTGTCCCACAAGGGAAATGGCTATATAAAATATGCAGTATGGAAACCCAGCAATAATGGTGCAGAACTGTTTCTCATGACATGGGAAAATGGCCATAACGCTTTCTGAACAGGGTTAGAGCTAAGAAAGCAAGCAAAGCAGACTGGGGACAAGCTCGTTGTTCCCATTGCTGTAGGCGGCGCACACCTGCGTACAGCCTCCTTTGTGTGTCTGAGTGCAGGAGACTTTCAGAAGATCATGCCTCCACATTAAGCTGGGTGTCAGGTGTAGGTGACTAGGTTTTTTTCTTGTTTCTTGCTCTCCATCTTCATTTTCCCACAATACATTACACATGAAAGAATCCCGTTTGAAAGAACTGGTTTTTTATTTGTTTCTTTTCTCAGTTTCCTGACTACTTGCCCTGTTCAGTGATGTTGCAGCCAGCTCCGCAAGATGTAGGGAAGGTAAGTTAAAAAACTACCACGAATTCCCTCATTCTTTCATTCCTTTAGCAGACTTTGTTTTGGACTTTTTTTTGGTGAGACTGGGATTTGAACTCAGGGCTTCGCACTTGCTAGACAGGCACTCCACCACTTGAGCCACTCCGCCAGCTCCCTGTTTTTTGAGCTGGATCTTGCTATTCATGATTCTTCTGCCTCGGCCTCTGAAGTGTGGGGATTACAGTGTGCACCAACATGCCTAGCTCTTTCAGCAGACTTTTTTTTTTTGATGGGGTGTGAACCCAGGACCTTGTGAATGCTAGGCAGGTGCTCTACCACTTGACTCATGTCCCTGGTCCTTTTAGTTTTAGCTATTTTTCCCTTTTGTCAAAATGTTTTTATTTTTATTTTTGCTTTAGCTATTTATGCCCAGGGTGGCCTGGATTGAGATCTGCTTATTTATACTTCCTGAGTAGCTGGAATGACAGATGCATGCCACCACTCCTAGCTTTTTAATTGGTTGAGATGGGGGTGGTGGTCTCACAACTTTTGCCTGGGCTGGTTTTGAACTGAGATCCTCTCATCTCTACTTCCTAAGTAGCTAGGATTACAGGCATAAACCACTGCTCCTGACTTCAATAGACTTTTTTTTTAATCATAGGAAATTTCAAGCATACATCAAAGTAGAGAAAACCATACAAAGATCCCCTGTGAGGCTGGTTGAGTGGCTCAAGTGGGAGAGCACCTGTCTAGTAAGTGTGAGGCCCTGAGTTCAATGCCAGTACCACTAAAAAAAAAAAAAAGAAAAAGATGGCCGCATGCTTCTGAGAGGCAAGGGAAGATGTGGATCTGAGGGTTGATTATTAGTGAAGTGGAGGAGAAAGCCACTCTCTCCCAGATGGGAGCCTCCCAGGCAGAGGGAGCAACCTCAGGTGTGTTCTGGGGGCAGCAAGGAGCAGGGCAGCCAGGTCTCCAAGGGCCTTGCAGACCCCTTGAGTTTTCTCGTGAGTGAGATGGGAGCCAGTGGCAAGTTCTGAGTGGCAACTTCTGACTTAGGTTTCCAAAGGGTCCCCTATTAAGAATGGGGTTAGGTGGGTGAAGCGTGTGTCTTGACGGGGGAGAAAAGCAAAGGGAAGTAATGACCAGGATGGCCCAGAGGCTTCAGGGAGGGAAAGGTGCGAGGACCCACAGCCCAGCGTCCTAAGATGTAACTCTGACATCAAGTCTGTACCTGGATTGTGGAGGATGGTGACAGATGATGACAAGGGTGAGGGCAGTGTTTGTCAGTGTGGAGTCATGGCCTATCTGTGACTTGTGGATCAGAAATGGCACTTAAACTGAGATGGGATGGGATGGAATGGAACGGAATGGAACTGAGTTGACAAGAGTGGAATGAGATGGAAATAGAGAGAGTCACACACAGCAAAGCTGAATGTTACGTCGTGACCAAGGTTTCACGCAGGCCTGTTTCCTATGCTACATTATAAATCTTACCTCTCAGACATTTGAATGCCATGGCCCAGGAAAACAGGGGTTGTGGACAGCTGAGATCAAGATGAGGAGGTCACTCGAGAAGAGGGTGAGCAAGTGGTATGGCTCAAGTGGCACACACTTGCCCAGAAAGCATGGGGCCCTGAGATCAAACCCTAGTACCGCCAAAAAAAAAAAAAAAAAAGAACTGAAGGAAAGACAATCCAGCTCAGTCAGGTCTGACAGCACTCTTTCAAGGAGGCCTGGGATCCAGACTCTTAGGCAACCTGTCTGGATTTTTACAACACTACAGGCCAAACAGAGCGCTGCCTGTTTCCTGTGTTGGGGGCAAGGTGAGAGCTATGGGCAAAGGGAATACTGGGTGGGATCTGGGGGCACTGTGAGAGGGGAGAGACTGAGGGACACATAAGAGACTGTCAAAGACATGATATAAATAATATCCACTGTATTTTATATAATCCATAAAAAATTATGTCATGACATTAATAGCACATAATTTATTATATAGTGCTCTATAACATAAGCGTAATATGTAATGTTATCATGTTAAGTTACTGCATTATCATATGTAATATCACTATGCTATGAAATAACATTGAAATATTAATATGGTTAATATATGATAATGTATTTATATATAAATAAAACTGCATGGTATTTTATTAGCATAGGTCGTTATTCAGCTTTTCACAGATGTAAAGGGATCAAGTGTCCAGCCGGAAGGAGGAGCAGGACTCAGGGGAGGTCTGCGAAGTTCGAGGCTTGTGCTGGGAACAGCACAGATTGAGTGGGTGGGTGACAGAGCTGACCTGGCTACAAGTTGCCTGGCTGATGGTGGGTAATGATGTGTGTTTATTTCCAACCTGGGTTACAGTTGCTGTGATTGCTCAGTTGCAGAGTCTATAAGTTTGTTGCAGATACATCGCCATTAACAGCTGGTGCCATGCACCTTAGGTGACTCCACTTACCCCTCTGGGCAGGGGGCAGAGGGCCAGCCATCTCCTGTGGGCACCCTGGTACCGCACAGATGAGCCAGGAGGTGGAGTGGTTACACAGGAGACCCCAGAAGTCACAGCAGGGGCAGAGGGATAAAGGTCACTGGCAGGTGCATTTATTCAATCCATGCTTACTTAAATTTTTTTAAAACCAGGTTTCCATGGCTTACACCTGTAATCCTAGCTACTTGGGAGGCCAAAATTAGGAGGATCTCAGTTCAAGGCCAACCCTGGGGAAATAATTCACAAGACCCTCTCTCCAAAATAACCAGACCAAAGTGAGGTGTGGCTCACGTGGTAGAGTGTGAAGCCAAGTTCAAACCCCAATACTGTCAAAAAAAATTTAAATTAAAAATTAGATTTTACCCCAAGTTCTATCTCTTTTAAAAATGTCATGAGCTGTTGGCACTCTAGGGCGTAGCTATTGCTGCCTGGCCACACTTGGCTACAGTGGAGCTGAACTGATCACCGTGCTAAGGGGTTGCACCCAACAGGGTATTTGTGGACCTGGCCCCCAGGCCTCCGAGCACCTGTGTCCGTCCCCATGCTGTCAGCAGCAGGAAGTCAGTAACACATACAGGGTCATGTTGGAGAAGGACACCTAAGTGTGTGAGGTGGAAGGGGTCATGGACCTGCCAGGGTGCTCACAGCACCCTCCATAGCTACGGGAGGGGCACATCTGGCAGGCCAAACCCCTTCCACTCTCACTGCTATGCTAACGTCCATGTTTCGTTCCCAGTACACTTCCACATCCAGTCGTCTGGGCAACTCGAAGGAGAATATGGCTAAAATGAAATCTTATAGCCACACCTTGGCCTGGGGGAGGTATTATGGGGAAGGGGGGTGCTGACTGTTCCCTGTCTGCTCTCTTGTCTCCAACAGAGCTGTGGGGTTGACTTTGAGGTCAAAGCATTTGCCACGGACAGCATAGATCTTGAAGAAGACAAGATCTCCAAAAAGTAAGAGATCTTGGGGGAGGGGTGTGGTGCAGGGGTGGGGATAAGAAACTGCCCCCACTTTATCTGGGTGTGACAGCTTTCCCTATAGGCAAGGTGTTGGGGGATGGGGAACAGGAGAACTTCCCCAGGTGAGGGCAGTGAAGTCCAGAAACAGCTACCATCCACATGTTGCATGGGGCAGTGTGTGGGGGAGGGCTGATGGTTGATCATCTGGGGAGCTGGTGAAAGAAAATGTCAGTGGTGGTAGCAACCTCAAGGGCTCATGGAGGCCCCTAAAAGCTGCCCTCATCCCTTCTTTCTTTTGCTTATTTTCTCCTCTTCCTCCTTCTTTTTGAGATAGTATCTTGCTGTATATCCCAGGTTGGCCTTCAGCTCCCAACCCTCCCAAGTTCTGGGATTATAGGCACACACACTTTCTTCCTTTTGAAAAAAACAATTTTTTATTGTGGTATATATATATATATATATATATATAATATTATATATATATTATGCATAATATATTATATATTTATAATATATCATATTTACACATTGAGCCACTCCACCAGCCTTTTTTGTGATTTTTTTTTCAAGATAGGGGCTCATGAACCATTTGCCCAGACTGGCTTTGAACTTCGATCTTCCTATCTCTGCCTCCTGAGTAGTTAAGATTACAGGAGTGAGCCACCAGCACCCAGCTCATTTTAACTACTTCTAAGTATATAACTCAGTAGCAGGAAGTACATCTACAATATTGTGGAACCACTGCCATCTGTACCCCAAACAGACCCTGTCACCAAGAAGCAATACCCCTAGTCCTCCCACTGCCCACTGCTCACTTTTCTTTTTTACCCAAACAGGATACCCAAGCCCTTCCTGTGTTCTCCCCACGCCCAACATGCATATGTCTAAGTGCTTACTATAGTTAGTAGTCACAGTGCGCCAGCTACATAGAAGCCTGGTGACATAAGGCATCTACACTGTCACACAGCCTCACTGAAAGGAGGCTGAGTAGGGCCTGACAAAAAGAAGGGGACCCTTTTAGACACAGCTTTGACACCCAGAGAGAATGGACCAGAACGGGTCATCCAGGGCAGCCCTGTCCCATCCTCCCCTGGGCAGTCCTATCTCCCCTGGGAGTGTTGGAAGTGCTTGCGAAGACACCAACGTGACACTGTGGGGGGAAAGGGAAGGCCAAACTGAAACACCAGCGCTCACCAGGAATCCCTGGGCTTCTCACAGGAGCTCTGTGCGCTTACTGATTCGGAAAGTGCAACACGCTCCGCCTGAGATGGGTCCCCAGCCCTGTGCAGAGGCAGCCTGGCAGTTCTTCATGTCTGACAAGCCCCTGCACGTCTCTGTGACCCTCAGCAAAGAGGTAACTGTGTGGGCACGTTGTAAACCATCTTGTTCCTGCAGTAGGCAAAGGTGTAAATGCCTGGCTTATTTAATAAATTTGGACCTAGTCACCTTGAGCCTCATAGCATGGCAAAGTGACTGGCACTGCATTCATTGACTGTCCCCACAGACTGGGGAGCTGGGAGGGCTGGCGAGCTACTCGCACCTCTCCTTCCAGCCATCTTGGCCCTTCTGTGTTGTCCTGGGCCTTGTTCTTTAATACAGTACCACTAGGTGTGCTCACCAAATAGTTTATCAAGCTTCGCAGAGACCACACAAGGCGGCTGTGCAGGTGTGTTGTCATCGACTAAGAGTGTTGAGGTGGAAAAAGGTTAAAAGCCCATTGGCCAAGGCTCTAGTCATCAAATGGTCAGTCATGCACATGTGTCTTCAAGTGCCCAACACAATGTGTGCACGTGTGTATGTGTGTGGGGGGGGGCCAGGATAACACAGGGATCCTGCGGAGAGCTCCATCTCCCAGCTTTCCCAGTGCTCTCCTTTCATTTCATTCATCCTCTCCCCAAAACCTCCCGATTGTACTCAAGGCCTCCCATCTCCCTCTGATGGAACACGCAGTACTCCTTTATCCTCCTCAGCCATCTGCAGATGGGGCAGAATGTGTTCCAGACCCTCATTGTCCCTAAAAGCAGGGGAATTCAGCCACATTTATTCTAGGTAAAAGGCTGGAGCTAGTCTAGGAAGTCCTGAGAGTAATGGTACCGCCTCCCTCTGTTCTCCTCTTCTGACTGACTTCTCCCTTTTTCAGATATATTTCCATGGGGAGCCCATCCCTGTGACTGTGACTGTGACCAATAACACAGAGAAGACAGTGAAGAAGATTAAAGTATTAGGTAGGGCATTCTTCTCCAAACCAGAGGGCAGGGTCTTCTAGAACTCCCATCCCCATCTTCTGGTCTGACAAGACCCTTACTTGTCCTTGGAGCTGCCTGTTTGTCTATGTTGTCACAGACAGCAGAACCTTAGAGGGAGAGTGACTACACTGTGTCTACTTGGGACAACATCCCTGACAGACAATCTTTCCATCTTTCTGTGGTCATGCCTTCCTGGAGGGTCCCCCCGAGTCAGATCTCACAGGAAGTATGGGAGGAGTTTTCCTTTTTTGGATCAGCGATAATTTTTGTAAACAAATGCAGCAAGTATAGCGGGAAAGGCACTGGATTGAAAACACCAGGCTGTGGGCTGGTGCTGTCTATGTCTCTGAATCACAGTTAACATCTATAGAGGCAGCTCTGTCTCCTTTCCCAGGCTTTGTGAGGCTCAAAGGAGAGGTTCCAAGTGCAGGTGCTTTGTAAATGGCAAGTGTGACTGTCTGACTGAAATGGCCTCTTGTGTTGGCCAGCCCTGGTCATGTACTGCTGGGGAAGTAGCTCCACTTCCTGTTTCTACACATTTCCCCAGCTCAAAGGGCAGGTCTTATGTAGGATAGAATGGGTTGACTTGGAAAGATAGCCTCTAGATTCAATCTGGTTTTTTTGTTGTTGTTGCTTGTTTATTTGTTTGTTTAAGACAGGGTCTCATATGTAGCCCAGGCTGGCCTCAATAAGTTCAACTTTTTTTTTTTAGTACTGGCGTCAGGACCTCAGGCTTGCTAGGCAGGTGCTCTTCCACTTGAGCCATACCCTCAGCCCAGATAAATTCAACTCTTTTTTTTTCCTTTCAGTATTGGAGTTTGAACTCAGGGCCTACAACTTAAGTCTCTCTACCAGCACTTTTTTGTGAAGGGTTTTTTCCAGATAGAGTCTCTCGAACTATTTGCCTGGGCTGGCTTCAAACTGCGCTCCTCCTGATCTCTGCCTCCAGAGTAGCTAGGATTACAGACATGAGCCACCGGTGTCCGACAAGTTCAACTTTTAACTCAGTCAATGACCAAGACAAAGACAGATCGATACTGTCTCAAGGTGACCAACTGTCCCAGGTTGTCCAGGACAAAGGATGTGGACATTTCAATGCTAAAATGGGGTTTGTCCCAGAGAGACCAGGATGGTTATTTGTACCCTAAAAATTCATGTGTTGAAAACTTAATCCTTGCGTTCCCGTGTTAATAATTGGAGGTGGGACCTTGAGGAGGTCATTAGGGTTAGGTGAGGGTGGAGCTCCCATGAGGATATGAGTAGATTTATGAGAAGAGGAAGAGTGACCTAACCTAGCAAGTCTACTCTGCCTTGCCAATGTGATGCTCTCTGCCATGCTGTGATGAAGCAAGAAGGCCCTCACCAGATGCCACTGCCATGCTCTTGGACTCTCCAGCCTCCAGTGCCATAAGCAAAATAAACCTCTGTTCTTTTTGTTTTGTTTTGAGACAGGGTCTCACTGTGTAGCCTAGGCTGACCTTGAACTCACAATCCTGCTTCAGCCTCCCATGTGCTGGGATTGCAGCTGTGTGCTAGCACACACAGAAACATCTCTGTTCTTTATGAGTTACCCAGTCTGTGCTATTCAGTTGTAGCAACAGAAAATGGGCTAAGACAGCATCTGACATAACTTTCCTCTTTCCCTCTGTGTCCATCACAGATGAAGTTTGGGAATTTTGATGCATGCATGCTAAAGAATTCTAGATTATTGTCGTTGCTCTTAGGAATTCTTAATTTACAGTTTTGTTTTATGATGGTTTACTTTATGTGCCCTTAGATCTTTATAGGATCTGGAGTTATTTAGCATCAAATAAACTGCTCTGCCTAGTAGTGGGTGTGAGTCAGGCCACTATAACAAAAATACCATAAAGAAGATTCTGGCTTATAAGCTACAAATATTTATTTCTGATAGTGCTGGAGGCTGGGAAGTCCAAGATCAAGATACAAGCAGGTTCTGATTGATGAGAGCCCATTCCTCGTAGACAGTGCCTTCTTGCTGTATTCGCACACGATGGAAACATGAGCAAGTTTCTTGGGCCTCTTTTTAAAGGGTACTGATCAGCAAGGCGTTGGTGGCTCAAGCCTGTAATCCTAGCTACTGAGGAGGATTGCAATTTGAAGCCAGCCAGCGCAAATAGTTCGAGAGACCCTATCTGGAAAATATTATTCACACAAAAGGGCTGCTGGAGTGGCTCAAGGTATAGGCCCTGAGTTCAAACCCCAGTACTACAAAAAAAAAAAAAAAACACCTAAAACCAAAAAGGTCTAAAAGGGTACTGATTCTATTCAAGAGCACCTCATCCCATGGTCTAATCACCTCCCCACGACCCTTGACACTGTCATCTTGGGGTTGATATTTTCACATGTGAATTTTGAGAGGACAGGAAGCAAACCTTCAGACCAAATGATTGTGGATAAACAATCATTTGGTACTTTGATGTAAAATTATTTCTCAACTGGCTGTGGTGAATGATGCCTAAAATCCCAGTCCCTTGAAGCTGAGGGGGTTGCATTGTGAGTTCCAGGCCAACCTGGATACACAGCAAAACCCTAACTGAAGAAAAAATGTTTTTCAAAGTTTTATAAATCCAAGCAATAAAGCTAGTAACCTTGAAAGAAGCTGACAAATTTTCTGAAACAAAATGACAATTGCTTTCCATGGCCAGGCTCCATGCTGAATGCTTCAAATTGTTTCTTTTAATCCTCAAATTTAAAAGAGATGAAGTCATCTTTTAATCTTAACAACTTCCCTGTGAGTTAGCCACAATTTTCACTCCTATTTAACTATCTGGAGGGGAAACTGAGACATAGAGCAGCTAAATAGTTCACCCACAGTTAGTGGCTAAGCAGAGACTTGAGCCCAACCCATCAGGCTACAAGGCCCATCTTCCTATGTACCATGTTGCACCCTCAAATTAGTCCTATGCTCCTTCTAGATGGTTCCTAGAAAGCTCGCAGAATTTATTAAATAAGGTACAAGATGAGGCTGGGTTTGGAGAGAGAGAGAGCAAATGGTGAGTTCTGGGGAGGTGGAAGACACTGTGTCTTTGAATCAGAGCAGCCAGAGTTAGGTGATGGCTCACAGGAGAAGAGGGGCTCCCAGAGCCCCCTTCGCCTTACAGCCTGGTTCACAGCTGAGAGTTGATACAGAGCAGATTACTGGAGAACAGAAATTGCCTGAGGACATGTAAGCTGGGGGCTGAGAAAGCCAGGAGACTAAAATGACTAAGAGAGCAAAGCCCTGCTGTGTCCCCTGGAAGGCCGGGAAGGACTGTGCATATGCACAAGGAGCTCAGTGCTGATCACCCGACTGTGTCCTTCCTTTTCAGTGGAGCAGGTGGCCAACGTGGTTCTCTACTCGAGTGATTATTACGTCAAGCCTGTGGCCACAGAGGAAACACAGTAAGTAGCGGTTGTGTTTCCACTTCCTGGGCGGCCCACCTTCTTTGTCAAGTTCCTCCTTTGTGCTGCGCTGGAGAGGGAACTAGAACACTCAACCAGCCTGTCGCTTCCTTCCCCTTTTCTCACTTCAAGCGCTGCAAAGAAACTTAGCATCTTAGCTGTGTGTTTACAGCTAAACACCCCATGTGGCCCATCTCACAGGAGATCTGAGAACTTGATCATTCAAGATAAAAGTGAGATGAGAAATCAAGGTGGAAATGTCACTGTGGAGTGACAGGGTTTCTCTGTGTATTCTTGGCCTGGGTTATCCGATGGCAACATGAGAGTTCAGCCCAGCCAGAATACTCTCTTTTGACCTCTTCCGTGAAAATCTTGTAACAACGACAGCTGAACTAGGAAGCTGGATCTGTTCTTAGCCTGTTGTGAATGAGTTCTTTTCCTTCAGTAGAATCAAAGCCAAAAGAGAATCCTCTGATGGCTCCTTCATGCTGGTGTGAGAGACCTGCAGGTTTTGCTTTGTGCTAGAAGGTCAGATAGATTCATTTAACGCACAGGTGAGGGGGTTGTTTTGCCTGCTTCTCCTCTTCTTAGGAAGATCCTTTCCGCTTTGTCTAGCTGGGATGTTAAAAACCATTACCAGGGTTAGAAGAAGGTTGGGGTGATTAGATGATATTACATAATATTTAAAAGGCAACTTAAGGATAAACTATTACTGCAAACAAATTTGGTTTACAAGGGAGGGAAGCGGGAAAGAACTACAAGTCGTTGGCTGATTTTCTTATGCCAGGTCTGGGGTCTGGTCCACATTTTAGGGCACATCCTTGCCATCCTTGGCCTGGGGGTTTCTTGGTTCTGGATGCCTTTTGGCAGAAGCTCAGCGACACTGGGGCAAATGGTCCTAAGTTTTCTCCTAATGTATACCCCATTATCCAGTCCTTTTTAAACCTTTGGGCACATTTTGGGCCAAATGATTCCCAGGAGACTGGAAACCATCCTCAGATCCTCCTGAGGGTAGGACAGGGAGACTGAAAACTGGGCAGATCACATTAGTGGGTGTGTTAGCTTTTCATTGCTGACACAAATACCCAAGAAAACATGCTAAGAGATTTATTTTGGCTCCCACTTTCAGAGGTTTTGGTTCACTGTGGATGAGGGCGTGGCAGGGCAGAGAAGCTCACATCATGGTAGCCAGGAAGCAGAGAAAGAGCATGGCTTCATTAGCGGGCTTTCTCTTTTTCTCTGTTTTATTCTATCCAGGCCCTCAGTCAAGGGGTCGTGTCCCTTTGTGTGCTGTCCACATTCGGGGTGTGTCTTCTCCCCTTAGTTAGCCTCTCTGGAAACTCCCCCATGGACACACCCAGAGGTGTGCTTTACCAATCTCCTGGGCCCTTCTCAATGCAATCAAGTTGACAATCAAGATTAACCATCCCCATAGGTCCCAGACTAGAGGCCACTCAGAAGATTGCAGCTATGAGCCATTCTCCCAGGCCCTGCAGCTCCTGCGGCTCTGGTGGGCATGGCTCAGTCAGGTTGGACCCAACTTCCCAGTTGCTGCCCTACCTTCCAATCCCACGTCCTGGGCAGTGGCCCTAGGGTCTTTGCACCGTCCTTTGGCAAGCTCTGCTGCAGAAAAGGCCACTACCCCCAGCCTAGTCCTGAAGACTCCTTCCTGCTACAGTCCCCTCTACAATGCAATGTCTTGTTTTTGTTACTGCTGCTGCCCAAATCGAGCTCATCAGAGAGATTCTGCCAAGTACGAGGAAGTGGGTCACCCTGGGCTCAACCAAAATTCTGTAAAGAACTTCCTGTATCCACCAGAGACAGGATAAGCCACAGCTGCTTTAAACTCCCCAGGGAGAACAGCAGGGATGTCCTTCCTGTGAGAGGCAGTTCAGGCGTGCAGATGTCTTGAAACTCGGGAAGCAGTCCTGATGCCGGCTCTGGCAGCAGTTTCAGGCCACACCCTGCCTTCTTCTGCCGAGTACAAGGACGCAGGGTGAGCTGTTGCCACACATGACTGCAGGCACAAGGCTGGTGGAACATGAGGCAAGAGCAGTGCAGACAGCCCTCAGCACAGACCTGGGGCCTGGTACATAAATGGCAGTTCTCCAGCTCAGATGCTGCCTTGTGACCCTGGTGATGCTGTGTCCCCAGCTGAACCCCGGACCTGCTCCTTTGTGCTAGGTTCCCACAGCACAACTGATGATGAAGAATCCCTGGAGAGACAGCGTGTGCTGCTTTGAAACCAAACTAGCCCAGTCTGTGTGGTTCAGAGATGGAGGCCCCAGCCTCATGCTCGCCAACCCGCCATTGGCCATATGCTGGTCATACTTAGAGTGACAGCTTTGACAGCAACGTCTGTTCCTCAAAGGGTCTGCTGTCCTGCAAGAGGTTCACCAAACTTCCACAGGAGGTTCTCTGGGCTTTCTGATCTTTGGGCCAGTTGGTCTTGTTTCTTGTTTTTGGTTTTGGTGGGTTTTGCTTTGTTTTGTTGAGACAGGGTCTCACCATGTAGCCCAGGCTGGCCTCAAACTCACAATCCTCCTGAGTGTTGGGATTACTGGCATAAGCTACCAAGCCAGCAGTTGGTCTTAGTCTAACTCAACAGAACATTCTAGAAATTCAGCAATTGAGAGTGGATGGAGGGCTTGAGGAAATGTGCTAATGTTGCTGCCAGTCTACTCAGGGCTTTCACTAACACTGTGCTCCTCCTCCCAGTCAGTCCATGGGAACTTTGATCCTGGGAAATGCTCCATGGCAAATCGGACCTCCCAGGGTTGACGGTCATAAGTCCTCCTCTCTTGTTCTTCCTCCAGGGAAAAAGTGCCACCAAACAGCACTCTGACCAAGACACTGACACTGCTGCCTCTGCTGGCTAACAATCGAGAGAGACGAGGCATCGCGCTTGATGGGAAGATCAAGCATGAGGACACAAACCTGGCTTCCAGCACCATGTGAGTCCTTGAGTCCAGGTGAACGGCTCCATCATGGCTGATGCTGGCCTGCACCCAGGCTCAGAAGCAGGCATGGGCTGCTGGCATCGGTACCACAGAGCACAGACCTAGAGGCCCAAACAAGATTCCCCACTCCCATCTTGGCACAAGTGGTGACTACCCCAGTGGGCTCTGGGCACAGCCTGGCTCACTGCCCATCTTCTGGGTGACCCTGGCCAAGTGATTTCACCTCTCTGAGAAACCCAGTTGTCCCATCTGTAAAGCAAGGTGATACCAGTTCCAATCCTGGAGTGATGAGGACCACATGAGGCACTCAGTGTACTGTGTGGGGCCTGATGCTCCAGAAAGGTCAGCTGCAGTTTCCGAACACTATGGCAGCTCCTCTACTTTCACTCATTCACGGAAGGTGAGGGACAGGAGTCCTGAGGGCCACGGTTGTCAATGAGATTTACATGCAGGATTTAGGCAGCTGATCTAGAAAAACTGCACAGTGGAGCTCCAACATTAGTACCCGCTGCCACTGCTAGCCACCCTTGTAGGTGTCCACTTCTGCAGTGAGTGAACTCTAGGGGTTTGGGGCAGGAGCCAAACCCCAGACTCAAGGCCAACTTGCTGCCCTCTCCCTGTGGGATACACTGGGTTCTCCTTCCTGGCCCCTGTTAGGCCACCTCCCCGAGGTGACGCCCATAGGTGGCTGGCATGTTTTACCATGTGGACAGTGGCTCAGTAGCTCACATTCTGTGAGGCCAACCGTGGGGACAGTGAATATTTGGCAGAAAGCAGCTGGGAGTCAAAGGGTTTTCTGAGGACAATTTGCCAGGTTACTGTCTTAGCTACTAAAGCATGCTTGTGAAGCTCCAGGGAGAGGCTAACAGGGAAACTGATGCCTAGATCAACCTAGTTGAAGGCACAATGGTCCTGATATCAACAATGGCACCCCAGGGCCAGGATGTGGCTCAAGCGGTAGAGCACTTGCCTAGCATGTATGAGGTCCTGGGTTCAATCCTCAGCACTGCAAAAACAAAAGAAAACAATCCCCCCAGATAAGCGCACTCTGCGATAAAGATGTTTTACGATGTATGGAATAGACTATTAACACTCATGTCTCTCCAACTCTTTGTGAGCAAGGTGTACTTATATGCATTTTATGGATAAGGGAATTATCCCTTAATTGAGCCAGAACAAGAGACTTGCCCAGGGTCACTAGGTCAGTTAGTGGTCAAGTCCACTTCTCGCCAGCTTTCCCACTCAGGACAATGGCCGGAGAGAGAACTTGCAGGGAATTCTCAGGCATGTGATGAAATATGTTCTATTCTCCACTGTTTGGCTCCACTCTGCACAAGACAGAAAGTCAGTGCCAGCAAAGGGATTGGGGTCCCCTTTTCCTGCTCCCTTTTCTATCTCTGTGCTCTGAGTGCTTGGGCATCTTCCACAATTCCAGGTGAGCGAAGCTCTTTGGGGAGCATTAGTCCCATCAGAAGTCTCCCTGGGCTGGATGTCATCCTCCAGCTGAAAGCTGCCTGACTGCATCCTGGATAACAGAGCTGCCCACACAGCCTCCCCTGATCTCACTTTCTGCCTTCAGGGTTCTCTACCGCGATTTCTGTCACGACTCACATATTTGCTGGTGTTTCATGGTTAGGTTCCTATTGTTGACATCCTGGAGTACTCAAGTCACATGAAATAATAATCTGCAATAGGTTCCCAAGGTGACTGTGTCAGTGGAATCAGAGTGAAGGTTCCGCCAAGGAAAGTTACAGTGTCCTCCCTTTGGGACATACCTTCCTGAGCTCTGACTTGGTGCCTTTGCGATGCTGGGTGCTGGACACACAGAGCTGTTAGGTACAGTCTAAAAAAACCATGATTCATTCCCATAACTGGGTTGTAAGACGCTGTCCACGTGCCATTTCCCATGAGCAGAGCACAGCAGAGGGAGGCCCAGTGTTGCTTGGCAGTGCCCAGGAAGGTTTCATAAAGGAGGGGTCTTTTTCCTTGATGGCTTAGGGCAGGAAAGGGGGGAGAAGGGCATCAGTGTAAGGTTGTGGTTGGCACTAGGCACCACTGGGCATGAGGTGGAAAGGTAGCTCACAGATTTCAGCCAAGTCTAAAAGCTGGAAGATCTCTCAGGCCACAGAGTGGCTGGATTGCTCAGGGAAGACAACTGGCCCATGGGATATAAGTTCCCGAGACAGATCACACAGCCAGGGAAGTCTGGTGGGAAGACTCGGTGGCTGCTGGGATGATGATTAGGGCAGACTGGGGAGGGGGAAGAGACAGGAGGATGGATTTACAGCTGGGTGATCAGGTGAATGAGCACTGGTAGAGGGTCAGCCCAGAGAGGGTGAGTGCAGGCTCTGCCTCTCTGTGGACAAGGAAAAGACAACCCCACACCCTGCCCCAAATGCACACAAGTATGTAAAGTCCCAGGGCTTGGCTAGCCTCGTGGAGGTCACCAGTTCTGGAGATGGCCCTCCAGGACAGTGGGGCCCGGAGAGAGGAAAGGATCTCTTAATCGGCTCTGCTTCCTGCTGCTCTACTTATTCTTCAGCTCCTCCTTTCTGTTGTGACAGCATCAAGGAGGGCATAGACCGGACAGTCCTGGGCATCCTGGTGTCTTACCACATCAAGGTGAAGCTCACTGTGTCAGGGTAAGTGTCTGGTCTGCTCTGTCATAGCTTAGACAGCCTGGACTGATTCTCTCATGAATGACTGGCAGGCAGGAGGTCCCCAAATCTGCTGATTCCCACAGAGTCTGGGGAGATTTTGTTTGTCAGCTACCACAGCCCTGTGTGGGAGAACATCCCCTGGAAAATTAGACTCTGAAATGTGTGCACTATCAGCACCACTTGGCAAAAATGGTGCACATGTGCACACGCAGTGAAAGCTGAGAGGTAAGAATGGAAAAGCAGCTGGGCGCCGGTGGCTCACACCTGTAATCCTAGCTACTCAGGAGGCAGAGATCAGGAGGATTACGGTTCAAAGCCAGCCTAGGCAAATAGTTCAAGAGACCCTATCTCCAAAAAACCCATTACAAAAAGGGGCTGGTGGAGTAGCTCAAGGTGTGAGCCCTTAGTTCAAACACCCATACCTCAAAAAAAAAAAAAGAAAAGAAAAGCAGTTCTTATTGTTACATTGTGTTTCAGAAAAAAAATGGCGAGTACCCAATGAAGTCTCAGGAAATCATCCTTCATTTGTGTCTTAGAGTCAGCCATCCATGAAAGGGAGCTTTTCTGTCCCTCTGCTAGCCTGTAATCACAGAACCAGGATTCTCCTTTTTCTACAAAAATGCTGATATAGTAAACAGATTTCTATTTTGGTGGAAAACCAATATCTTTTTTTTTTTGGTGGGACTTGGATTTGAACTCAGAGCTTCACACTTGCAAAGCAGATGCTTTACCACTTGAGTCTCACCTCCAGTCCACCTTGAGCTTGTTACTTTGAAATAGGGGTCACTCAAACTCTTTGTCCTGGCTGGCATCAAACTGCAATCCTCTGATCTCAGCTTCCCAAGTAGCTAGGATTATAGGCATGAGCCACCAGTGCCTGGTTGAAAGCAGTATCTTTAATCTCATCAGAAGGGGGAAAACAAAACCCTTGAATTCTCATTTTCCTTCCAGATTCTGTTACCAAATACTCTGGCCTTTTACCTTGATGGACCTTGGTTAGTTTGTCCATTAAAGACAAGTCTGTTCACATGCCTGGATTTCTAAGTAGGTAAAGAGTTCCCCAAATTTTGCCTAGGGCCACAAAGAACGTAGTCTGCTTTGGATTTGTTATTGGCACAGTGTTTGTATTCTTTGTGATTTTCAAAGCAGATGGCACTTTCTTCCCTTTTCCCTGTGAGGAGGATCTAAGTCTAGGGTAGGATTTCACTTAGCAGTCAAGGAAAGCATGTATTGGGTGGGCTCAAGTGCTAGAGTGCCTGCCTAGCCAGCATGAGGCCGTGGGTTTGAACCTCAGTACTATCAAAAAGAAAAAGAAGTATCATGGGGTCCTATATTTGAGAATTCAGCTAACCATAGCTCAAAAATATGTGGAAAAATTTGCATCTATACTGGACATGTACAGACTTTTAATCTTATTAATTCCCTAAACAGTAAAGTCTAACAACTATTTCTATAGCTTTGACATTGTATTAAGTATCATAAGTGGTCCAAAGATGATTTAGAGTAATGGGAAGATGTGTAATGATTATCAGAACTTGAATACCTGAGGGTTTTGATATCCAGAAAAGGTCCTGGAACCAACACCCCCATGGTACAGAGGGAAGAGACAGCTGTAATTTCACAATGACCTCTGTGGCTGAAGGATTGTGTGTGTGTGTGTGTGTGTGTGTGTGTGAGAGAGAGAGAGAGAGAGAGAGAGAGAGAGAGAGAGAGAGAGACAGGATTTCACTTTGTAGCCCACAGTGAGGTATAACTCAGAATCCTCCTGCCTCAGCCTCCTGAGAGTGCTAGGATTATAGGTGTGCACCACCATACCTGGCGTGGCTAAGAAATTCTGATTCTGTGGCTTATGCTTGAACCTAAGCAATTACACTTCTTAGGTAATCCTCTTGAGAAAGAGAGGAAGTTAGAAGCAGAGACGAGGAATGAAGTTGAACATTAAGAGATGCAGAGATCCTGGAAGTTGTGAGACACAAGAGGGAAATGAGGACTGTATTTTGTCCTGTCTCTGGATGATAAGTGGTTATGTTACTGTTTGGGACAGTCACCACAGCTGTTTGTTTTGTGTTTCTTAGCTTTCTGGGAGAGCTCACCTCCAGGTAAGCCTCTTCACCTCCCTTCTCCACTGATTCCCAGGACGCCAAGGGCAATGAACCTGGAATCTGGACAGAAACTGGTCAAAGCTGGTTTCTGGGCAACTGTGCTCAGAAGTGCTGTGAAGCGCTTTCAGTTGCAAGAGGCATGGCTAGTGGGTGTGAGGCTGGGGAAACCCTAGGTGGGCTGTACCTGGGCAAGGACACATGCACACAACACCCCCCTCTGAAAACTGGCACACTGCCCACAGCTATATTGCGTGTGGGGGGGGATACAATACACACAACGTTATTTTACCATTTAAAGTGCACAATTCAGTGTCATCTGGTGTGTTTACAATGTCATACAACCATCACGGCTTACCTAGGTCCAGAAAATTTTTACTACCTGGAAAGGAAACCTAATACTATTAAGTGATCACTCCCATTTCTCCTCCCTGTAGTTCCTGGTAACCACTAATCTGCCTTCCATCTCCATAGATTAGCCTATTCAGGATATCGCCTATAAATGGAACCTATAACACGTGGCCATTGTGACTGGCTTCTTTCACTTAGCTTAATGTTTTTGAGTTCATCCCTCTGTTAGCATGTACTGGTGCAGTTCTTCATTCCTTTTTTTCTTTTTTTGGACTAAGTAATATTCCATTGCATGGATATACCACATTTGTTTATTCATTCATCTGTTGGTGGTCACATGGGTTGTTTGCACCCTTTGATAATTGTGAATAGTGATGGATGCCTTTTGAATTGTGCCCCAAAAAACAATATTTGAGACAGGCATTGACTTGACACAGTCTTTTCCCCAACTCTTATAATCTCCTTCCCTCACCCGGAAGCCAGGTTCTACCTGTTCTTCCTGACCCTGTCTGTACCTGGGCCATTGTAAACAGGTCAGCACTGGGGAGGCAGCCGTGGGGGATATCCTGGGATGCAAGGAGTTCCTCCTATTTTTAATTCCTCTCCTCACCGTTCCATCCTCTGTTCTCCAATTTCCTTTGTCCTCTTCCAAGTCACCCCAAAATTCTTTAGCTTTTGGAATTTGATGGACTCTGCTCCTCTCTGCTTTTTGACAAGAGACAGTGTGCTCACCCTCAACACACCAGCCTCACACAGATTTTTAACATGTTTGAAATGTTGTGCCTGTTGCAAGAAATACTTTTTAAAACCACCCTTCGTCTAGGGTTTCACTTTTGCTCTTCCCAGAACATCATGTCACTACAACCAATCACCAGGGTCCAGGGAACCTAAAAACACTAGCTGCCTCGCCATGCCTGAGTGAAGTTCCTGCACCACACTCCAGGGAAAACATTTCAAATTCCTGCTTGACCACTTCCTGATTTCTGTTATTTTTGTTTTGAATCCCACTGAATTGTCGCTCAGCTTGGGCCTGGGGATCTTTTGTGAGTTTCTGCAGTCACCACCTCCTGCCATGTGATTTGTAATTGTGTGTAGTGTGTGTGTGTGTGTGTGTGTGTGTGTGCATGTGTATATGTGTATGTGTGTGCGTTTATGTGCACGTGTGTATGTGTGTGTGCATGTGCGTGTCTACTCACCAAGCAACGCTCTTCTTTTCTCCCAGTGAAGTGGCCACTGAAGTGCCATTCCGCCTCATGCACCCCCAGCCCAACGACCCAGGTCAGTCACTCCATCATCCAAGCTGTCTCTAACCATTCACTCCTGGCAGATTTGTTATGTATGCATTCCTGGTCTTTCTGTTTTGGCAGTACTGGGACTTGAACTCAGGGCCTCACACTTGCTAGGCAGGCATTCTACCACTTGAGCCACTCCACCAGCCCCATTTTGTGATTTTTTTTTTTTTTTTTGAGATAGGGTCTCATGAACTATTTGCCCAGCCTGGCTTCACACCTCACTCCTCTACCTCTCTGCCTCCTGAGTAGGTAGGATTACAGGCATGTGCCACTGGTACCTGGCTTCCTGGTGTTTCTTGACTACACCTCTGAGCATGGAAGTTGCCAGGTGTCATCCAGGGTGTCAAAGCCAGCTGGAAAGGAGAGCTCATCTGCTGAGGGCTGAGCTTGTCCACCCCCTGTTTGTATGTGGAAGATGTAGCATCTTTGCTTTTGGATGGTAACAATCTTGTGAGGTTTTACCAGGAATGTTTCAAAGCAGAAGCTTTGCTATCAACAGGTCTGGGCTTAGATTTAAAGATGATTTAAGTGACAAATACATTTGAGAGCCTGAGGCTATTGTGTTTCATTTGGAAGCATTGCTAGGCATTTAGAAGATGACGTATACTTTTGAATGTGGCAATTGTCGTGAGACTACAGAAGATACTAGGAACCTGGCCTGACACTCAGCTCATTTGAATTATAAATCCATTAGCTCGTGTATGGATGTTAACTGAAGCAATAGTTGCCCAAGGCTGTGAACATGCTGGAAACTGTCACACTGTCACTGTAAAGAAGTGAGTTGGAGCTGGTGGCTCACACCTGCAATCCTGGCCACTTTGGGAAGCTGTGATCAGGAGGATCATGATTTGTGGCCAGATAGGCAAATATTTTGCAAGACCCCATCTCTAAAATAAGCAGAGTTGGCTGGCAGATTGGCTCAAATGGTAAGAGTGCCTGCCTAGCAAGAGGCCCTGAGTTCAAACCCCAATGTCACCAAAACACAACATAAAACAAAACAAAACAAAAAACCCAAACAAACATAGATTAGCTTTTGGACTGGTGAAGTGGCTCAAGTGGTATGAACACATGCCTAGCAAGCATGAAGCCCTGAGTTCAAACCTCAGAAAAAATAAAGTAAAAATAAAATAGAGCCGGGTGCCAGTGTAATCCCAGTGAAGTGGCCACCGAAGTGCCATTCTGCCTCATGCACCCCCAGCCCGATGACCCAGGTCAGTCACTCCATCATCCAAGCTGTCTCTAGCCATTCACTCCTTGCAGATTTGTTATGTATGCATTCCTGTAATCCTAGCTACTGAGGAGGGAGAGATTAGGAGGATTGCAGTTCAACGCCAGTCCAGGCAAATAAATTCACAAGACCCTATCTTGAAAAAAAAACCCATCAATAAAAAGGGCTGGTGGAGTGGCTCAAGGTGTAGACCCTGAGGTTAAGCCCAGGTACTACAAAAAATAAAGAAATAAATAAGTAAGTAAATAAGTACATAAAATAAAATAACCAGGGCATGTAGCTCAAGTGGAAGAGGGCCTGGCTAGCAATCATATGGCCCTGAGTTCAAGTCCCAGGCCTGCCAAAACCAAAAACAAAACAAAAAAATATGAAAAGTGAGTTAGATTGCATATGAATTAGATTTCAAGGAAGTTCTTGTAAGAAAAGTTAAATGAGAGGCCAGGCATGGGGGTTCATGCCTGTAATTCCAGCAGTGGGAAGGTAGAGGGAGGGGGATCATGAGTTCAAAGCCAAATAGGGCTACACATTGAGACCCTGTCTCAGAAAACAATCACCCCCCCAAAAAATAAAAAGGTTAAATGAGAGGCTGAAGATCTAGCTCAGTGGTAGACTACATGCTTAGCATATGCAAAGCCCTGGGATTTATCCCTAGTACTAGAAAAAGAAAAAAAAAAAAAGGTAAGTGAAGCAGCAGAAATAATATGGGTGCAAGTTCAGAAATTTTGAACAAAAATTCTCTTCTGTATGTTAAAATAGATGGTTGAAAATTCTCTTCTGTATGTTAAAATAGACTGGTTTCTGAATAAAACTCTCTCCAGCTGTAGTAAAAAGCAATGTTCTACTTAAAAGTGGAGTCACATACTTTATAAATAGCTCTTCTATACTGATAACAGAATGGTATTTAAGCTCCAGAATGAGGCCCCATTTCATTTTAGGTTTTAGTCTAAAAAACATTTGGACTCAAAGTATCTTTTCCAAATCTTTTGGATTCAAACCCTCCAGTATACTTTGCCAAAAGCTTCCCTTGAGGGGAAAATACAGTCAGTCATACATTTTTGGTTTACTGATGCTAGTATTATTAAAATACTATTTTTTCTTTTTTTTTACCTTTTGGGGACTAAGTAGGATTGCAATCCAGGAAAACACAGCTCCAAGCAGTCTTAAAAATATGCTCCCAAAATACGATTTTTAAAAATTTTTATTTATTTATCTTTGACAGTGCTGGGGATGGAGCCCAGGGTCTCACATGTTAGGCAAGTGCTCTACTACGAGCCTCACCCCCACACCCCAAAATATAATTTTTTAACCATATGAGGTTCAGGTACTTTCTGGTTCCTTCCAACAATATTAAAAAGATAGTCCTCGCTGGGTGCTGATGGCTCACACCTGTAATCCTAGCTACTCAGCTCAGGCTATCTTTCTGTCTTTTTTGGTGGGACTGGGATTTGAACTCAGGGCTTTGTGCTTGCAAAACAGGTGGAATCTAGGTGAGTCAGATTCTAGGCTGAAAAGGCAAGCTTGTAGTTAGGCACCACCAGAGCAGGGACCCAGCAATGTGTACCCAAGAAGTTCTGTGGAATGCTGACCACATTTTATTATCTCTCCTGCCTCTTGACCAAATCCAGGGTAATTAACTGAACTCTTCATGTGGTAGACTTCTTTAGGCCTGAGGGTCGCAGTTACCACTGTGTTTTTATTCCTCAGCACTGCAAGGCTTCCTGCTTGCAAAGCAGGAGCTCTACTGCTTGAGCCACACCTCTAATTAATTTTGCTGTGGTTTTTTTTGGAGACGGGGATCTCATGAACTAATTGCCTGGGCTGGCCTCAAACTGAGATCCTCCTGATCTAAGCCTCCCAAGTAGCTAGAATTACAGGTGTGAGCCACCGGTGCCTGGCTCCAGGGTATTTCTTGTGGAACTTCTGACAGCTCAGCCCGACTTCGGGTGCCTAAGTATGGTGACCATCACAGACACTTCCTTCCTGTGCTGGCTTCCAGGTGGGTGGAACACAAAAGCAAAGTCTTACCAGCAGACCCCTGCCCTGAGCTCTCCCACACCAGATCTTTGCTAGGTGGGCAGAAGCTAAGAAAGAACAAAGCAACAGTCAAGTTGATTTCAGTTTATCTGGGGATGTGGCACATGTGAAAGCATAACCCAACCCAAAAGATCAACAAGTTAACAGAAATATAAAATGGAGGGGCCTGAGGTGGCCCTCAAACTCCAGTGCATCTCCTGGAGTGCTGGTGTCACCTCTCAGTAGCCTGATGGCATGCTGCCTGGAACTGCATGGTCAGGCTCCATGATGACTCTACCTGGATGGGGACCAAAGGACATTGAGACAGAAATACTTTGGAAAGAAGACCAGCATTCAAGAAGGTGAGGACGATCAGGGAAAGGGCCCCTGAGGTGCAACCGCAGGAGGTGCTCATTTCAGGAGATGAGGGTTGTATGGATGAGCTGCGCATGCAGCTCAGGGTAGAATGCTTGCCTAGCATGTGCCAGGCCTGATTTCCATCCCCAGCACCAAATTAAAAGAAAAAAAGTGATGGTTAAAAATGCAAGATGAAAAGCAAAGAAGCATAATCACGTGCAATGACATGAATTACATGTTTCTAGGCCTTAATGACACTTGGACTACAGTTATCTAAAGGGAGAGGTTTTCCAGGTACCAGAATTGATGCTAATCTCTCTCTCTCTTTCTCTCTCTCTGTCTTCTGGACTTACAGCAAAGGAAAGGTAAGCCACTTGAATGCTGCTCCAAGTTTCTTTGTGTCCTGTGACTCCTCCACAAACTCCTCTTTGAGTGTCTACTCACATCCCTGTGTCACTTTGCTCCTGAGGACTTAAGGCATGTGCACACACAGTTACTCTGTGACTTTTCTCCTTTTTTTCTCTTGATTGTATTTATGAAAGAGATTTTAAACAAAAAGCTTTGAGGAAAATTATGTGGTCCCCTGTCCCATCCTGGGGAAAACCTTGATAGTTTCCTTTGCTAGGAAAAGAAGATGAAGGGTCTGTTTCATCCTCAGCTTCAAAGAGTGTGCACTGATCCAAATGCTTGTTTTCCTTTAGTATTCAGGATGAAAATTTGGTTTTTGAGGAGTTTGCTCGTCAAAATCTGAAAGATGCAGAAGAAAGTGCAGAAGGAAAGAAAGACAAGGAGGAGGCTGTGCAGGATGAGTGAAGAGCCTGCTCAGATTTCTAGGCATGGCCTGCAGCTCCGGACCACGAGCAAGACCCCACAGTAGCCTTCAGAGTCACACTAGATATGAAAGTATACATTTTCCTCCTGAAATAAAGTGTGACCATGTGTCCTTCAGGCATGAGTCAGGCTGATTGTCTAGGGAGCTGCACCGACATCATCTAGAAGCTGTGCTGATGTCACCTAGAAGCTGCACCTTTATGGTCGCTGGAGTCTGGGGGTGAGGGGAACATCTATAAAAAAGGCCAGCCTTCCACAGAGTGGCTCGGCCCTGGCCCAGCAAGAGGAGAAGGTGGGGGAAGTTACTGTGGTCACCTGGTGGGGCCCCTGTGTCCAGGGCTTTTCGGGGGCCCTGGTCCATCTCAGCTGCCTCTGGAAACAGCTGACAGGAACTGGGGCTAATTTCCTGACCAATTCTAGCTCCAGAGTCCTTACAGAGAGACTCCTGAGATAAACAGTGGAGGGAAAAAGTAAAGACAAAAATACCCTTTATTAAAGCTGATTCAACTTTGGGGTCCAAGTTGCTGCTTGAGCTCTGGGTTGTTGAAATTTCTATTGAACACAACAACAAAATCAGAATTGGTTAACATAAGTGGGGAGGGGAATGCAATAGAAGGGGTCTGTTAGAAGGAGTCTGTATTGGTTGGTGAACTGAATTGAAGGAAGAACTTAAGCTGCTATGCCTGGGGTGGGCAGAAACCAGGGATGGCTTAGCCCAAGAGCTCGGGGACCCACTATCTGGTTGGCTATCTGTGTACCTAGTTGGTACACAAATGAACTCTGAAGGATGACTTGTGTCTCTGCTCTCTGGGTCCTTGTTCAAAGTTCCTGGGAAGGAGAATCCAAGTGGCTCCCTGGGGATGGGCTGTTCCTGAGAAAGGAATTCACTGTGAGCCAATGGACTTCCTGGTCAGAGTGCTCCATTGAGATTGGGCATGAAAGAGGGAGGGGGAGATTCAGGGAGGAAGATGGGGCTAAGGTAGAGGGAGCACAATAGGGATCTTCAAGGCCATTCCCTGCAGAGGGGTCCCCCTCCTGGCTGTGATACCCACCAGTCTGGGGTTTGCTGCTGGTGCCACAGAAACTGAGGAGCTCTCTTGGTGCCACAGAGGAACTTGGGAATGTGTGGTCCTGGTCTATGCTTTCAGGGGGCAGGTAATAGGGGTCTGGAGATTTCTCTACAGTTCAGTCCACTTACCCAAGATAGGGGTTGAGAGTGAGGGGTTATTTGGGTGATGTATCCTGGTGATCAGGTTTCTGGGGCCAACAGCAGCAGCAAAGAGCTGGATGGGACATGGTTCCATGTTCATGAAGGTTCCACCATCTTGGTTGTTCAGTGGGAATCCAGGCTGATTTGTGTGCTGGGGCCTGAGATTTGGACATGGAGGCTCCACTTGCTTGGGTCCCCCACAAACAAAGCAAGGTTTGAACCTGTGTGTTGTTTTTGAAGCATCCTGGTATTGACAGGGATGAAGATTCATTTATGGAACTATAATAATAATGCTACAAGTAGAAGATGGGTCCTTTTGGATTATCGGGGCCAGATACCATTGCTTGCTCTGTTTTCCTCCGATGCTAAGGGAACAGTTACTTACCATTCCATACCCCTTTATCAGGATATCCAGTCGAAGGGGTTCAGAGTGCCACGTTCTCTGGGGAGTCCTATGGCTATGTGCCCTCATGATGAGCCTTTCCCTTCCCTTCTGCCACCAGAGCACAGGGAGCCATGGTTAGCAATTGGTGGAGCTCTTGGGCCAGCCAAGGGAGGGCTGGGCCTCTGCCCTGCAGTGCCGTTGAAAGGACCAGCTGGTTGGTTCCTGCATTGCTTGACCCCAGGACATCCTAAGTCAGAGTGGATGTTAATAGGCCCGACCTTTGGAACTGTGAGGGTGGGAGAGCCCAGGGAAGGGCTGGACAACCAAGCCCTGGAGAGTAGAGGTCAGAACAGCCCCTGCTCTCCAAGTTATTTTGGTGCCAGAACTTCCGAAACAGGCCTCCAGGTGCTGGCTTGTTTATGGACTGCAGCTGGTCAGCCTGGGGAGGGAGTGGAGGCAGGAAACGAGCAGCCAGCTGTCCCAAGCAAGCAAGCAAGCAAGCAAGGGAATGTGGAACATTGGCTCGGCTCTGCCTGCACATTTGTGGCATTGTCGTTGCTGGCATGCAGACTCCCAGGAGACAGGAAGTGTGTAGAATGTGTGGCCCAGGGTTGGGGGACAGGTGTCGTGCAAGAAACAAGGTACAAGCCAGGTGCTGGTGGCTCACACCTATAATCCTAGCTAATTGGGAGGCTGAGATCTGGAGGATTGTGGTTCCAGGCTAGCCTAGGCCAAAAGTTGGTGAGACCTCATCTCACCAATAGCTGGGTACAGTGGTGCATGCCTGTTATTTCAGCATTGAGGGGAAGCACAAATTGGAGGATCCCAGTCCAGGCTGTCTGGAGCATAAAACAAGATCTTACCTCAAAAATAACCAATACAAAAAGGGCTGGCGGAGTGGCTAGAGAGGTAGAACACATGCCTAGCAAGCAAGCACAAGGTCCTGAGTTTAAACCCCAGTACTACCAAAAAAATATATATATACATATATACAAAAGAAAGAAAAAAGAAAATCAAAGTGTAAAGGAGTTGAGGGTGCTGCGCAGAAAGTGGCTGAGAATTTGGGACAAGGTTCTGCAATTAGTGACCAAAGGGTGGGAGAAGCAGGGATGCCTATCATTTACTGAGTGCCTGACTTGTATCAGGTGTTTCACCTATGACATGTAGTCACTCCAACAATGCTTGGAAGTTGGTGCTGACATTCCCATTTGTCAGATGAGGAAACTGCAGTTCTCAGAGGTTAGGTTCCTTACCCAAGGTCCCACAGCCAATGAGAGCCCCATCTGGGATTTGAACTTGGGTTTCCCTGAATCTGTAAACAGACCTTTGTCCATTGGGTGCTGACTGGAAGTAGGAGAGTTTGGAGGGTCAGAGAGGGGAGATTAGCATTTATGATTAACCAATGGCTGCTCTTAAGTTTGTTTTTTTCTACTGAATTTTATATTGAGATAATTGCACATTTGCATGCAGTTGTAAGGAATAATGCAGCCCCTTCACCTAGGGTAACATTTGTAAGTCTATAGTGGTGCCATGTCACAAGTGGGATGTCCACATTGGTGCCACCCTTCTCACTTTTTTTTTTGTGTTATTGGGGCTTTGACCTTGAACTCCAATTTTTTTGTGACAGAGTTTTTCGAGATAGGGTCTTTCAGAACTGTTTGCCTGAGCTGGCCTTGAACTGCGATCCTTCTGATCTCTGCCTCCTGAGCAGCCAGGATTACAGGCATGAGATACTGGTACCTGGCTTTGCTGCAGTTTTATCACTGTAGTTAACACTTTTTTAGGGTGTTTGTTTTCCTACTCCTTTAATAGATTTTATTACTTTCCTCCCCATATATTTACAGGCCTGAACAGTTTACTGATCCTGGGGTGAGATGGGGCAGATAAGGGAGGGAGTTGGATACTTTTGGAAATGTGTGGGGTGGTTTTTGGTTGTTATAATTCCTGGGGGGGGGTCAGGGAAACTATATGTCACCTGCAGTGAAAAATTGTCCTGCTCCAGAGGTCAGGACAAAGAAGGCTGGTTATCTCATGTTTTCTGGTGGACCTGGGAAACATCTGAACTAGAAGCAGTCCTTTCTGAAAGGATCATACCTCTTTCCTGACATGTCACAAAGATGGATAGGGTTGGATGTGAAGTGTATTATTACTGCCACCTTGATATGCCCTCAAGGTGGGGTGAACTCAGGGCGAAGCATATCGTTAGACATGATTCACAGTGTGACTCATTCGATGAAGAGACACCCGAGGGAATGTGCTCTTCCCAAGAGCTGCTCTGGGAGGGTGGATGCCTCAGCTTTTCCCAAGATCTCCAAGGGAACAGCCCTGCGCCTTTGCTGGGAACACTTGCCACACTAAATGACTTGGTATCATTATTAAACGAAAGCCCATAATTGTTCAGATTTCCTTAGTTTTTACCCAATGATCTTTTTCTGTTCCAGGTTCCTATCTAGGACCCCATGGGACAAGCAGTCATCATATCTTCTTAGGCTCCTCCTGGCTGTGCCAATCCCCTACACCTTTTTCTAACTGCAGGTTTCTCCCTTTCCAGTGACACCTTCTGTCCCCAAATGCGCACTGTGCTCACATTCATGCCCGTGACTTTTGCCTCAAAAATGTTCTGAAGCCCTGATGCTCCTGAGTTTCTAGAAAGTGTAGGCAATACCACATCCAGGTGCCTCGAACCCAACTCATCTTCCTCCTCACCTCTAAGTGCTCTTTCCTAGTGTCACCGTCACCCTCCAGAAGGCCCCATGGGGAAAAGGCCCTGACTCCTTCCACTCCTTATCTCTTACTAGGAACAGTTAGTCCCTTCTGCACCTCTCTCCTGTCGCTTCCATCTCCATAGCCACCACTTAGTTGTGGCCCAATTAGCATTGCCTGGAGTAGTGCAATTCCCCCTTCCCCCTGCCTTTTTTGGGGCAGTACTGGGGGTTAACTCAGGATGCAATCTCTTTTTAATGCCCTCCCTCTTTCCGGTCTTTCCTCCTCTGTATCATTTTCTGCTTTCCCAAGCCTTGGGTGATTCCCCAATGTCCAGGAGGTAAGGTCCTTGCTGCAGAGCCTGGTAGAGGTTGCTTGCCTCCCTGCCCCCACCCCTTGCCATCTACTCACCTACATCCCTAGTCATCCTCTCAGCTCACCTGGTTATCTCCTACGTTTTTGTGTTTTCCTTGAAAATTTCCTCCTCCCCTTGCCTTTCTATCCAAATCTCTAAACCCTGCTCAGATCACCCCTGTTCCCTGATGGAGTTAACTCTTCCCCTGTACAGCACCCTCCCTCTCCGTCCTCTCCTCCTTTTTGTACCCCCACCAGACCATTGCATTTATATGTTGTACTATTTGTGTGTGTGTGTATATATATATATATATATATATATATATGAATGAATAATAAATGTATTTGCTGTTCTAGGAATAGAACTCAGGGCTAGGGAAATGCTCTATCACTTAGGCTACACTCCCAGCTCCACATTACACTATATTGTTGTCAACTGCTACAAAAGACTCAAATCTAAAGGGAGCCAGACACCTTTTGTAGCTGTATTAATTCTTACAGCTGCCAGTAATATCAGATAAGGTGGCTTAAACAATAGAAACCTACTGTCTGACGCTTCTAGAGGCTGAAAATTTGAGATCAAGGTGTTGGCTGGGCCTAAGTTCTCTCCCCTTGGCTTATAGACAGTGAGCTTCTTCCTCTGTCTTCATGTGGTCGTCCCTTTGTGTGTGTCTGTGTCTTAATCTTCTTAATAAAACACCAGTCAGACTGGATTAAGGACTATTCTAATGACCTTATCTTAAGGTAATTACTTTTTAAAGACCCAACCTATAAATATAGTCACATTCTGAGGGTGTAGGGGGTTAGGTCTTCAACACATGAATTATGGGACCGATTCCCTTCAGTCCTCTTTGTCTATGCCCTTGGCTTTCTGAGAGATGAACCCTGTAGTACTGGGGACTTGGGAATCACTTGGTCCAGGTTCAAATCCTGCCTCTGTGTTGTATCTCCGGTGAGGTATCTGAGTTCCATGTCAGGAGCTTCCTCTCCAGAATAAGACTGTTCTGCTGACTCTGTAGGGCATGGCTGAGGGCTAGCACTGCTGGTCCAATGTCCAGTACTCTCCACTGCTCAGTACTCTGGAGCCATCACTGTACTCATGTGTTGCAGAACTTGCCTGTGATGGAAGTATTCTGTATTTGTGCTGTCCCATTGGGTAGCTGGCAAGCCACATGTGGCTACTGAGCACTTGAAATGTGGCTAGTGTGATTGAGGAACTGAAAATTAATTTTAATTAATTGGAACTTAAATGTAAGTAGCCACATGTGGCTACAGCACAGGGCAGTGTAGCTTGGTGCACCCAGGGTTCTTAGGCCTGTCCCATAGTATTCCTGAGTTAGGCCCCATCATTCTCTGTTCCCTCTGTAAGGCTCATCCCTGTGCCAGATGCTACTCTGTGGCCTCTGGGGGTGCTGGAAAGCAGAGGGGATCTGAGCTTGCTGACTGGTGGGCAGGCCTGTGACCAGTGGTCTCTAGCAGTAGCCCTTTGAAAGGGTGAAGGGATACTTGGGCAACCCTCTATTCACTTGCTCCTCATAGCAAGACACATATGTGGACAGCATTTCCCATTGGGTAACACCATGTCCTTCTCCACCTGGATGTCCCAAAAGGCACCCCAAACTCAAATAATCTCACCTCCAACTGCACTTCCTCATCCTGTGCCCCAGAGAAGTGCAGTGGGAAGCCTGGGCTTATCCCTGATCATCTCTGCCTCCCTTCTTGGTCAACTGAGCCTCATCCAGTAATTCCGGGCAGCTAGCTGCCCCAATACTTCAAAGCCTGGAACAGAGGCCCCTGTTTTGTGATCCAGCTGCGTCCAGGTTTTAAATCCCTCCAGGTCTTCCTGCAGCTCCCAGACCTCAGCAGAAAAGGCCGGCCCCTGATCTGGTCCATAAAGCCTTGTTTGACCTGCCCCTTAAGCTGATTTCCTTTTTTTCTTTCTTGCCTCTGGAACTTAGCACAAGTCTGGTCCCTGCCTAGAATGTGGTTGCTCCTTTGGGGATAAGTCTTCTCATTTTCCATCTCTCTTTAAACAGAGGCCAGTTCAAGTTTCGTCTTCTTTCTTTCCCCCATGTAGCATGCGAGCATGCTCTCTCCAAATTGTTTACCCATCTGGAGATCACTTACATTCTGATGCAGAACACTAAAAAACAAAACAAAACAAAGGTGAACACGGAAGAAACACAAATCAAAAATCGAACCAAGCTGGGACAGTGAGAGGGTCCGGGGTCTGGTCACCCCTGTGGGGGCGGGGAGGGCTCTGGCGCAGCGCCGTCTGCGGCTGCGCGCACGGCCCACAGGGGGCGCGGCAGGCGGCTCCTAGGCCCGCCCCGCCCCGCCCCGGCCCGGCCGCCCCGCCCCGCCCCCGCCGCGGCGCGCGCGCTGGCCGGGCAGCATGGCGGCGGCGGCGGGCGCCCCTCCACCGGGTCCGCCGCAGGCTCTCCGCCGCCGCCGCCTGAGGAGTCGTCGGACAGCGAGCCCGAGGCGGAGCCAGGCTCCCCGCAGAAGCTCATCCGCAAGGTGTCCACGTCGGGCCAGATCCGTCAGAAGGTGAGCCCGACGCGGCGGCCGGGAGCGCGCCCCTCACGCCATGGTCCCCGCTGAGGCCCGCGGTTCTGCTCGAGCGGCGGCCCAGGCCTGGCCCGGCCCGGCCCGGCCCAGCCCAGGGTCCCGCGGGCGCTGCTGCCCGGGCCAAGCGCGCCCCGTCGCGGTAACGGGCCGGAGCCCTGGCCGAGCGCCCCACCCCCAGGCCGGCCCGTGGGGGAACTGGGGACGGGGGGCGCAGGTGGGCGCCGCGCAGGGCTGGGGGCGCGCGCCGCGGAGGGCCGCCAGGGAGCCCCACGCTGCGCTGCAGGACCCCTGGAAACTGAGGCCTAGAGGCCGAGGCTGGGGCTCCTTCTGTCCCGGGACCCGGAGTGGGGGCTCCTGGCTGCTCCCCGCAGGCGCGCGCGCTCCCCGAACCCCCGACATCGGCACACTTTGAGCACTGGGCTGGTTCCTTTCCGCAGACTTACCTGTGGTGCCCTCCGAGGTCGGTTCTTACCTGGGTGCGGGGGTCTTCCCCTCACCTTTTCATCCCGAAAGGGAAGGGATGCGCATTTAGTGGCCAGTTCTCCCTCCCTCCTCGGGGAAGCCCGGATTGCGCACCCGCTGGGCACGAACTCTGCTTGGAGAACTCTGGACTCTCAGTATTGAGTGCAGAAAGACGCATGTCCTTTTTATAGATGGAAAGTCGCACCCTTTGTTTTCCCGTGTGTTTCTTGTTGAGAACTGCCTATGATTTTTGCTACGGTGAGCCCTCCTTGTTGGAAGGGCTTCCTCCGGCAGGTGACTGGACAGGTGGCTGCGAGCAGACTGGATCTGCGGGGGCAGCCCTGGCAGGTCCGGCTGGCACAGGCTTTCTCATCCTGCTGCAGTGCGCTTTTCCTCTGGGGCCGGTTGGTGCCGTTAGTGTGGGAGCCATTTCTTGCCTTATATTCTTGCCAGCCTCCGATACCTGGGATAGGGGAACATTTCGATGCTAACATGTTACAGACAGGTTTGTCGCCTTCCAGTGATAAGTGAGAGTGAATGCAGATAACGATTCTTCAATACTTACCATATGCCAGGCACTTTTTTTGGGGCTAGCTTTAGATACTTCACATGGGTTAAGTGACATCCCAGTGAGTCAGGTCATATATCTATTATCTTGGTGTTATGGAGTTGGAAATTGAAGTGGTGAGATTAAGTGACTTGCCTAGGGTGTCATAGATAGTAAGTGTTGGATCTGGAATTGAACCATGGTGAGGATCCTAGGATGGAAGGCAATTTCAGGATCTGGAGAAGATGACACCTGTGCATGTGACATCACGTTGATAAGAAGTGCCATGGAAGCTCAGAAGACAAACATTTGGAACTGTCTGGGGAGGCAGGAGTGAAATGACCCCTTTAAGGTGGAATCCGGAGGAATAGTTTGCCAGGCTAGATGGGAAGGGATGGTGTTTCCTGTATTTGGACATTGTATCTAAAAGTTTAGGCACACATAGGAATGGTGGATGGATCAGCTTGAGTGGAATTTAGAAGAGGCCGGCAAGGTAGGTCAGGGCTGGACTTGGGAGGGTGGCCTGTTGGAAGGGTTGGCTTTTTGGCCTTGGCCAAGAGGATTATTCCAAGCATGAGAGGGATGGTGAGATCAGGAAGATCCAAAGAACTCTAGATGGTACTGATAGGAGTGCGCTTTCCTGGTGCTTGGTCCCTCTGCAGGATTCTGACCCATGTGGGCAAGGTACTGCCCACTGAGGGGTAGATCAGATTGTACTGGCGGGTGAGAGAGGATCCATTCTTCTGAGATTCCAGTGTGAGTCCAGAATTTTGTTCTTCAGGAGGTGTTTTTTCTCCACCCCTTGCCCCCAAAATAAAAACCCCCAAAAACCAAAAACACAATAGTTGCTATACCAGCTGTTCTGGTTGAGGGGGAGTCATGGGTACAGTGTTAAAAATACTCCCGGAGGACTTGCATTTTGGAGTACAGTCACATTTGTTGTACACATAGCTTACGGCTGATTTTTCTTCAGAGATTGTCACAGCGTGGGAAATGTGCCGTGGCTCCCTTTTTTGCAGAGAGGCCATTCACAAAATTCCTCTGGTACATGCAGTATGTAATAGGAATATCCAGATGGTATGGGGTATCATTCTGGGTTCAAAAAAAGAACAAACTATTTATCTAGAGGAAATTTAATGCAGGGGATGGGTGGCACAGGTGCTGAAGAACTGAGAGTGCACACTGCAGATAGTGAGGCAACCTGTAGATGAAGCAACTTGTAGGAAACCACTGCCACCCGACCCGAGTGAGAAGGGGAGGGGATGCACATCTGATTCCAGGGACATCTGGCTCCACCAGAAAGTGGTCCATCTGGCTGAGCCTTGGAAGGGCACAGCTGCTGCTGCAAACATCCTGACCCCTTCTGCCTGGGAACCCTGCCCACAGGGATCCCTTTCTCCACAGTTTAGAATAGAGCAGAAGAGGGACGAATGGATCTGAGGAGTAGCTGTCCCAGGATCAGACTGTGTGTATGTCAGGTTTTCTAAATGTTAGCCTAGTGCAAGCTGAAGCTGTATTAATTTAGGGGAGAAAAAAATCTTTTGATAGTGGTCCTTAAATTTTAATATGCAGACACATCCCTGGGGCTCTTGTTAAAGTGCTGATTCTGGTTTAGGAGGTCTGGGTGGGGCCTTAGAATGGATTTCTAACAAGCTCTCAAGAGATGCTGATACTAGTAGTCCACAGAACGCACTTTGAGAAGACTTTATGGCATTAATGTAGACAAGCCTTACAAACTCCAAATATGTGTTCAGGCTACAGGACTTTTTTTTTTTTTTTTTTTTGTGGTGCTGGGGTTTGAACTCAGAGCCTGCACGCCGAGCTACTCCACTAGCCCTATTTTTGTGATGGGGTTTTTCAAATCAGGATCTTGTGACCTATTTGCCCAGGCTGGCTTTGAACCGTGATGCTCCTGATTTCTGCCTCCTGAGTAGCTAGGATTATAGGTGTGAGCCAGTAGCGCCCGGCAGCAAGATGTTTTAAAAGCTTTCCTCCAGTCCTCTCTCTCTCTCTCTCTTTCTTTCTGTCTCTCTCTCTCTCTCTTTTTCTCTCTCCCTCTCGCTATCTTTGCCCTAGAGTTTGAACTAAAGGCCTTGAGCTTGTGAGGCAAGCTCTCTACCACTTGAACTATATCCCAGACCTGTTTGAACTCTTCAGAGTTGAAACTGTCCCCAGCAAACACATGGCTTCATTTATATTTCCTGACCTCAGTACACAGTGACTTTAGGACCACCTAGTTAGAGTGGAAAAAAGAAACCAGAGCTGATACACTGACTGGTAAATTTACCAGCACTTCATGCAGTTAGCAAAATTCTAGTTAAGAAGAGTATGTGAAGCTATCAGGTAATAGAGTTATAAGTTTCTAAAAAGTTGTGCACCTAGGAGTGAATAATGAGCAGAGAAGAGTTTGGATCACTAATTTCATTTTTTTCCATTGTGAAATGAAGACTAGTTTCAGGGTTTTTGCTAAGTTTTGTTTGATGTTTTTGGCAGTACAGGGGTTTGAACTCAGGGCCTCACACTTGGTAAGTAGCATGAGCCACTCAGGCTGCCCTGTTTTATGTTCATAAGGCCTCACAGTGAAAAGTTTCCATTTTAAATGTCTTGAAAAATAGCTTTATGAGATACAATTCACAGACAGTTCACTTTTTAAAATTTGCTTCTAATAGTTGGGGGGGATACATTGTGACGTATATGTATGTGCTTGCAATATACCTTAATTAAGTTCACCTCCTCCGTGGTTGTCACTCATCTTTCCTTCTCGCCAAGATCACATTTATAACAGTACAGTTCACCTGGGGGCGGGGGTAGTAGTATGTTTCTGTAATCCTAGCAACACAGGGTGTGTGTGTGTGTGTGTGTGTGTGTGTGTGTGTGTGTGTGTCAGGAGGATTTCTGTTTGAGGCCAGCCTGGGCTACATAACAAGACTCTGTCTTTAAAAGAAACATCTGTTCAATTCAGTGGTTTTTAGTATGTTCACGGTTGTGCAATTGTCACCACAATCAATTTTAGAACATTTTCATCACTCTGTTTCCTCCCTGTTCTCTCTACCCTACGCAGCCACTAATCTATTTTTTTGTCTATACATATTTGCCAATTTTGGTCATTTTATGCAAATGGAGTCATTTACAGTATGTGGTCTTCCATATCTTGTTTCTATCATTTAGCATATTTTCAAGTTCCTTCTTTTTTTTTTTTTTTTTTTGGTGGTACTAGGTTTTGAACTCAGGGCCTCATGCTTGCGAGCTGTTTGCCTAGGCTGGCCTTGAAATATGATCCTCCTGATCTCTGCCTCCCAGTAGGTAGCATCACAGGTGCCCAGCTTTAAGATTCCTCTGATAGCATGTATCTGTACTTCATTCCTTTTTATTGCTTTAAAAATATTCTGTTGTAAGGATATACTTCATTTTATTCATTAATGAATTGATAGGCATTTGGGTTTTTTCTGCTTTTTTGGCTTTTCTGGATAATGCTTCCATGAACATTCATGTATGTTTTTGTGTGGCAGTGTTTTCATTTCTTTTGGGTATACACCTAGCAGTGGAATTGTGGGCCATTTGGTAATACTTTGTGTAACTTTCTGAGGAATTGCTGGATTATTTTATAGTTACTGCTCCATTTTATATTTTCACCAGGGTGGATGAGGAGGGTTCTAATTTCTCCATACCCTTGCCAACACTTGTTAGCATCTTTCTTTTTTATTAGCGTTATCCTAGTAGGTGTGAAGTGGTGTGTGTAAGGTGTTTGTTTTCCTTCCTTCTCCTACCCCTCTCCCCACTTACCTCCCCTCCTCCGTTTCCTCCTTCTGCTCCTCCCCCCACCCCTGTGGTGCTGGGGATGGAACCGGGGCCTCATACATGCTAGGCTCTATCATGACCTCCATTCCCAGCCATTTTGAAAGGTTTCTGTTTTGTTTATTTATTTATTTTTTTTATTTCCTAAAAGGTTTCTAATGCTAGTGTATTGTAG